AAACGCGATGAAGTCATTGTGATATCAGATACGGAAATGAAATTGATGATATACAAAGTACCTCGTTGATTCATGAAACACAGTGAAACAAGAGCAATTTTGTGTTATAGCCGTAGAAGATGTTATCTTCAAAGATTCGAAATATCTGACGAATAGAACAGTGACATGTATTCCAGAGACATTTACTGCAACATTCGATGATACACATCTCAAATTTTATGAAAATATCTATTTCTTGTCAACTGATCATTCTTTTTCAATTTCAAATAATATTGTCCATATACAGTGTGACCCATTTAAGATGGAAGCACCCTTATAAAACTTACATTTTTCACCCGATTGGAATGATTTTTTTTTTGTTAGGTAGATATTCAAAAAGTCTATTAGAACACCAAATATCATGAATAAATCTCCATTTCCAGGGCCAACTAATCTGATTTTTCAAGGTCAAAAATCTAAAAAAATTACTAGCGATTTTTTTAGAAAAAATCTGACTACACCACTGGATTTGTGACATTTTCAAATGGGTAACATGTAAATTACGTTGAAATGCGTCAATCAATGAAAAAGTTATAAAGGAATGAAATTTGAAAAATATGCCGTTTAATCAACCCACCAATTCATGTTCAGGAATTTTATGAAAATTCTGTATACTCCACTGGATTCAGGATGTCTTGAAATATTACTGATCACAGTTTCATCGAAATCTGTTCAGTAATAAAAATTGATGGGTTGATTAAACGGCATATTTTTCAAATTTCATTCCTTTATAACTTTTTTATTGATTGACGCATTTCAACGTAATTTACATGTTACCCATTTGAAAATGTCACAAATCCAGTGGTGTAGTCAGATTTATTCTAAAAAAATCGCTAGTAATTTTTTTAGATTTTTGACCTTGAAAAATCAGATTAGTTGGCCCTGGAAATGGAGATTTATTCATGATATTTGGTGTCCTAATAGACTTTTTGAATATCTACCTAACAAAATAAAAATCATTCCAATCAGTTGAAAAATGTAAGTTTTATAAGGGTGCTTCCATCTTAAATGGGTCACACTGTAGGTCAACTCATCATATATTCTTGGCTTCAGTGACAAATCTCGTTCAGAAAAAAATCTATTAAAACATCTGGTGCCATTCGGGGCGAGAAAGTGGACAGTTTCTTACGTTACAGTTGAATTTCGAAAATATAATGATCAGAGTCTACTTATAGTACCAGATGAGACATTCCATTAGCTTTTCCGTTCTTCGGAATTGGATGATTAATAGCTGCCCAATGGCTTTGGGCGTTTTTCGTCAGTCAGCCTGTGTATTTTATTTATTTTGCTTGATTATTTGAGGTTTGCTTCCATAGGATTTGTCCTACTACAACACGTATATTGAAATAATACTCATAATTTTGATATATTGAAGCCTGTGTATGTTTCTCTTATTACTCGATGACCATCAACGCTTATCTGGAATTTTCTTGATTCCCCTCTAATAAATCATGAAAATCATCCATTTTCTCAAAGTGGTCCACAGTATTTTCAAGAAGAAAAAAAAAAAAAAAAAAAAAAAAAAACTAGGGGCTCAAAGTCGGTCGACCACACTTCACTTTGAAGTGTGGTCGACCGACTTTGAGCCCCTAGTTTTTTTCTTCTTGTCCCCTCTAATATTTTCATCTGGAAGTTTCTTTTCTACTCTTTTTTATACATACATATTATAACATATCATTCCTGAATAATGTTTCTTTGCAATGGAATAAAATTCGTTTCGCTAAGTTCGATAATTTTGGACCATTGATAAGAACATTGGTGAATCACGATACATTATGAAAATTTACTCGTGAACATTGTAGGGTCTGCCAAATCAATCAGTAAATATCACGTATCATATTATCCAAAACTGCACATTCAATAAAAGCTGCAAATCCGAATTTCTGCTTTGTAGATACCATGTTTCTCTTTATCTATCTGAACAAATAGTAATTATTATACATCGAATCAAGTCAATCAAGAGGATATTTACATCGAGATCGAATCTGGATAAAAAATGTTCCTAATTTGCAATAAAAAACAGTCAGGTATTGGTATTCTGTCAGTGTAGTAATATATGTGTACATAAAGCTATGTATAATGAATCAAGGTATGTATTCTCCCATCCCATTGAATGATCCAATATCTTCATTTCATTATTTACTAAACTTCACGAAATAACTTTTTTAATGGATTAGTCATATGTTCAGTACCTGAATCGGATCAAATAAGTCAAATCACTCTTATTTTTTAGTGGAAGAAAATCAAACCAAGAAAACACGACCACCATCTATAACTGGCGATTCATGGCCTATCCATTGATTTTTTATGCCATCATCATGTTGGTAGCTCTAAATGCGAAATACGACTTTTTCAAGGAGCCGAACAAAAACTTCAGCAAAACTGGAATTCATGAAAATACAGTCAAAACAAAATTGTTGGGTAGTCGCAGTCCTAATGATAGGTGTCAGTTAACTTGGTCTATCCAGACATGTATGGTGACTTGTCAAAATACCACAGACCTAATTGTTGGATCAGACTTGAAGCACCTAAATTTCAGCGTACGTGTCAAACAAATTTCAATTTCAAATGACTGTGTATTTCAATCATGATAATCATCAATATAGGTTTAGAATAAAACTATCGATATATAGTGTGATTCGCGTAGACCACAATTTCTCATAACAACACGATTTTGTAGTTTTCCATTATCTAGAAACCTTTGACTGTCACTTTCGTGATGCGTATTTTGACGTTCCACATAGTAGTAGTAGTACGAAATACTTATTATATGCATATAAACTGTTGGATATTTGAATTTGAACACATTTTGGTTCAAGACCAAGACTACAGTTCTCCACATACTAAATGGACCACTCATAATTTGACTCTATTTCGAAGACCTGTATTTTTTGAAAAAATCTACCGATCTTTATGCGGTTCTCGATATGGGATATAATGTTTCATCGGCTTCAAAGAGAGCTAGAACACTCTGAAAAAGTCTGCAGAACAAAACTTACACACGGTGTAAAGTGGAACCATTACACTATAGTCTACATTTCCAATGTTGCCAGAACACGAGAAATTTTTTTCTGATCAAAAGTCAATCATATTATGATACGCTGGGACCTCATCTCGGGACTTTTTCGTGGCTTTTTCTTAATTGGCCATTGGAACAAGAATTCGATTGTTTTTTCGAAAGTCTTGCATTTCTTGAATTTTTTCTCTAGAACTCCAGTTGAGCTGACTATTGGGAAGAACTGTTCTCATGTTTCGTGGAGGACAATGAAAGACGAAAAAACCACTATTGTGGAATATACAGGATGATAAGAAGATAGGACAAAATATCATTTCAGTGGAAAAAATGAAAAATGGTGACTGAAACCATGGTCCATTCGATTCAGTATATTCAGAAACGGTCTCCTCAATATCCATTATTTATATTAGGCTATTGACTCGAGACGTTTTCGAAAATCCGCCTCTAATTGTAATACAGGATGAACATTTTCAATTCAAACTTGTTTCCTGATATCGATGATTCTTATCAACTGATTTGATGATGATGAGTATTGTTGTTCAATATACTGAGTGTTTCACAACATATCTGACAAATTACGAACTCTAGAAAACAATAATGTTCGAAGAATGTGGCGACCGCATTATCTTCAGATCTGAAATGGATTGAACATGTGTGGAGCCGAATGAAACTTAACCTATCGAGAAGGCGAGAGGCACCCCAAAATAATGACAACCTCATCCAAGCTGTATCAGAAGAATGGGAGGCAATATCAATAGACTTCATCAACAACCTCATAGAATCTATGCCAAACCGATTTCATGAGGTTTTGTTAAATCGGGGAGGCCCTACCAAGTACTGGAATTTAGGATATAGGACTTTCTAGTGGGATCTTCATAATGCTGAAGAATTCAGTAATGTCATATTTCGCCAATAGAGCCCATTTCGAATAGTTTTATTACATATAAAGATGAATTTTATTTTCCATCTCGTTTTACTTCTATAAATTTTTTATGTGATAGACTCCTTATGTAATATCGTAGTTGTGGTTGAAATTTGTCAGATAAGTTGTGAAACACTCAGTATATTGAACAACAACATACTGGAGCAATAAATATTGAAAATCAGTTGATAAGAATCATCGATATCAGGAAACAAGTTTGAATTGAGAATTTTCATCCTGTATCTCAATTAGAGGCGAATTTTCGAAAATGTCTCGAGTCTAATATAAATAATGGATATCGAGAAAGCCCTTTCTGAATATACTGAATCGAATGGGCCATGGTTTTAGTCACCATTTTTGATTTTTTTACTGAAATGAGATTTTGTCCTATTTCCTTATCATCCTGTATATTCCACAATAGTGCTTTTTTCGTCTTTCATTGTCCTCCACAGAACATGAGAACAGTTCTTTTCAATAGTCAGCTCGAGTGGAGTTCTAGAAAAAATATTCAAGAAATGCAAGACTTTCGAAAAATAAAATCGAATTCTCGTTCCGATGGCCAATTAACGAAAAATCACGAAAATGTCCCGAGACCAGAAAAAAATTTCTCGTGTTCTGGCAGCATTGGAAATGTAGACCATAGTGTAATGGTTCCACTTTACACCGTGTTTAAGTTTTGTTCTGCAGACTTTTTCAGAGTGTTCTAGCTCTCTTTGAAGCCGATGAAACATCACATCTCATATCGAGAACCGCATAAATATCGGTAATTTTTTTCAAAAAATACAGAATACAGGTCTTCGAAATAGAGTCAAATTATGATTGGTCCATTTAGTGTGTTGAGAATTGTATTAAGACCAATACCAAGACCGAGACTACATTCATTTTTTGAGACCAAGACCAAGACTTTCATGATCTTGGTCTTGCTCTTGGTCTCGCGAAGCCCAAAAAATGTACTCTCGAAAGTAAATGATTGCATTGTTGAATCACTGTATTGTTTTTCATCAGGTATGTCAGATTTCAACCATGAATCTATTCCTGAATATATCTTTCGCAAACCACACGATCGAAAGAGGTTGGCTCTCAGGCTGTACCAGAAATGTCACACAGCTGAAAATCCGCTCATCGAATGGAATATTTGACATTGGAGATGCAGCATTTGCAGGTCAACCCTTCAAGGCACTGGAATATCTGATAATAGAAGGAAACGGAATCAGTTATTTGAGGAAGGACACTTTTTTTGGTGCCACGATTGTTTATTTAGAGTTGAGGTTTGATTCACACCAGTATTTCAGGATCGAATCTGGTGTACTCAATCCTCTAGCAATGTCTCTTGCAAGTTTCCAACTAAACAATGGAATATGTGAGCCACAAGTGAGTTGTACCAGTTGACTTTAGGCCAACAACAACTTTCATCAGCACTTTTTGAATCACTTCATTATTTGCTATACAGGGTGTTACCGACTCCTTATGTGAAAATAAGAAGAAATATTCTTATTTAAATGTCTCAAAACGGTTCCTTCTCAACATGATGAATAGTGAAAATTAACATAAGTAAACTATGCAACACTAGTTTCATCGCACCCCAAAATTGTGTCTCTGTTAAAATATGAATAACTTTTTTCTGCTTTGTACAGGGTGAGTCATTAGTGTGGCAAAGTGAGATAACGGCTTTACTGTTTGAGATAGATGAACAAAAATTTCAAAGATGATCTAGGATCATGAGCAGCACATTTCCAAATTATTTCGCTTTATACAAGGTGACTCAGAAATGCGTGGCGTATCAAAGTTATACTTTTTCTTATTGGACACCCTATATTTCATTGCATTTTCGCATTTTCCTTTGTGAGCTGATTTATCAATGCATCACACTTGGGGTCTAGCAAGAATTATTACAGAAATGAACGGTATTCAAAATCAAGATTTTTTTAATTTTAGGATTTTTTTGCGTCGAAACTATTTATTATTGGTCAAAACGGCTTCCATGTTCCTAACCTAACTCTTGATTTACAATCTACTGACATTTAATTGGAACAGATAGGGTGATCAGAATGCTGAATCTTGAACCACCCGGTATTTGTTTCACTTAAATGTCAGTAGATAGTAAATCAAAAGTTGGAATGAGGACATGAAAGCCGTTTTTTCCAATAATGAATAGTTTCGACGCTAAAGAATCCTAAAAATTTAAAAATCTTTATTTTGAATACCCTGTATCTCTGAAATCATTCTCGCTAGACCCCAAGTGTGATGCATTGATGAAATCAGCTCACAAAGGAGAATGCGAAAATGCAATGAAATACAGGGTGTCCCTCATGAAAAAGTATAACTTTGATACGCCACGCATTTCTGAGTCACCCTTTATGAAGCAAAATAATTTGGAAATGTACTGCTCATGATCCTAGAACATCTCTGAAATTTTTGTCCAACTATCTCAAACAGTGAAGCCGTTATCTCACTTTGCCACACTAATGACTCACCCTGTACAATTCGAATTTGGATTACACTGTTCGCTATCCCAGTCCTTCAGCTATAATCTCGTACTTCTTTGAAACATGAGGTTCTTTATATAAAATAGCTACAGGAAAACACCTGAAACTGTGAAAATTTGGGAATTTTCAGAAGGATCCCAAATGAATAAAAACTTGTTTTTTCTACTCACATAACTAAAATGGCATTTAGCGTACGGATATGTACCACGCTAAATGATCGATTAATCACGGATTGTCGATCTGTGATTTATTCGAAATATTAAACACGTTACCATGGCAACACGATTTCTTAGACACATTACCATGGCAACGCAGTTCATTTAACACAGCTTCGGTAATTTGAGACATGTCTGGCCTGTCAATTGTATTAACTGTCAACTGTTATTTTCAAATTTTGTATCAGAATTATTCAAACAATATTCGTTTGTATCAGAATTCTTCATTAAAAATAGATGCGAAAAGTAGACGAAAGTGAAATCGAAGAGAATATTCTGGTACTTGCATATCTCCAAGAAGTGTAAAAATGAAGCATCCATCTTTGAGGACAATTTATTTATTCAGCGCTAAGCATGAGAATAATCGTGAAACAAAGGTGAGTAAGTAATGGACTGCAAACATCTACAACCAATATCACTTATACGTGTCTCGCTGGTTGCATGCAGTTGCATGTATTATGTTCTCAATTCCCATTCCTTTCGAATTATTTTGTCGGTTAGCAGGAATAGCAGGTATATGTTAATGTAATTTTCGGAGTTCGTAGAGAAAGCATAGTATGTAACGCGTTCATAAACTCTTCTAGACACTCGTTCATTAAACAATCGCTCCGCTCTGCTCCACTCGTGCTTAAAATGCTCGTTTCTTAAAGGACGTTTATAAAACTTGTTACATATACATAATATACTATTTTTATTCAACTTCAACAGCAGAGGCATGAAGATTACCCCATCACCTTTTCAAAGCGTCTTCTTATCTCATTTGTTTACAGATGACTGCAGAACCAAAATGTTAATTTCTCGTGATTACTTTGTGAATAAAATATATAAGGAGACATTCGAGAACTGACTCAAGTTCATCTACTGTGAAAGTTGAGCAAAAAGTTTCCTTCATTTGGGATACTTTTGAGATTTCCGAAATTTTTCACAGTTTCAGGTAACACCCTGTAGCGATTTTATGTGGAGAACCGCATGTTCCAAAGAATTACGAGATTATAGCTGAAGGACTGGGCTAGCGAACAGTGTGATTCGAATTCAAATCGTTCAAAGCAGAAATAAGTTATTCATATTTCAACAGAGGCAAATTTTCGGGGTGCGACGGAATTAGTGTTACGTAGTTTAGTAAACAACCCTGTAAGGAATCAGAGGTTCCTGTATATGGCTCGAGATTATATATTGTAACATCGTTGGTACTTTGATTATATCATCTCCATCTTGTCCATATTCTGAAGTAACTGAATTCTCACCATGTAGGTGATACATTCATCACATTTATTTTGGTGACCGTGACAGGACAGTGACTTGGTCCAAATGGAGAAGACACAACGAATGTTGATGATTCACCGAGTAGCATTCGAGCGAGTATATAATGATATTATACAAGAATTAGATTCTATCGAGCCTGACTTCGCTGATATACAAGGCAATATTTGTCTTCTTGACAAGAAAGTTGAGGAAATTACCGTTTTGGATAAGCAGATGCTTGATTTCCTGCTAGATGCCGATAGTTGTGAAAAAGATATTGACTTTCAAGTGTTGAAAGCTGATGAGTTGCTAGCAAATATAACAAGCTCAAGTTTAAAGTTGACAAGAGATTCGTAAAAGGGTCAAATCATGATTCTGGTCATTTATCAAGTGGAGCAAGTTGTTCTTCGTCTTCGAAAACAAAAATGAATCTTCCTCGTGTTGAATTTAAAGAATATGGTAGTGAAATAAAAGATTGGATTCCTTTCTGGAGTCAGTTCAAGAGAATCGATTGCGATGACAATATCGACACAGAAAATAAGTTTCAATACCTTATACTAGCTACTATTCCGAAGTCTCGCGCACGCCAACTGGTGGGAAGCTACCCTCCTTGTCTAGAAAATTATGATGAAGTGATTGTAAGTTTGAAATCTAGATTTGGAAAGAAAGAGTTATTGGTAGAATTCTACACGTTCGAGAGCTTCTGAAACTAGTTTTGAGCAATATGAAAGTGAAATCTAATATTGGTATGCTTCATGACAAACTCGAATGTCAATTACAATCTTTGGAAACTTTAGGAGTAACTGCCAAGAAGTATGCAGCAATGTTATTTCCCCTGGTAGAGTCCTGTTTGCCTGAAGAATTGTTATGAGTATGGTGAAGGAGTCAGACTAGTACAGAATCTATACGTTTTATAGGAACAAAAAACAATCTCCGTCATCTCGAGCCATATACAGGAACCTCTGATTCCTTACAAACCCTTTCATCGATGTGAAGGACACATTTCCACAGTTTGTTGTGAATTGAATGAAGTATCTTCTGATTCTCTTATCAGGGGTCACTCAGTATTCACAGGGGCGTGATCGTAGAGCCAGTGGGATGGCCTCATGCACGAAAAATAACAGCAGATTTTCAACTCTTGTTTGTTTCATACTTTTGAATGAAGAAATTAAATTCATAACTTTTTGGTTTCACGATTTTCTTATTACACTTATCTTGCTTTGATTTCGAATACTAATATTTAGGATTAAGAGATCTGAAACAATCATCCCATTTCTCAAAAAACAGTTTGATTTTGATAAAGCTTGAAAAACATCAGGAATTTCGAAAAGCATATCAACTGGGTAGTATTTTTCGTGCACAAAACTTCAACACTATGTATCTAGAAAACGAAAACCATGTCAGGAAAAACCTGTTCAACAACATGAGATTAATTAAAAATCGATTTTATAGTGAGTTCCGACATGCACTTTTCTTCAAATAAAGACAAGTCACGGTTTTGCATTAATCGAAAAATGTTCTATTCAGGTAATTTTTTCTGAATTGTTCGTTTCGATTTAATTCAGCAAAACAGTATTCAATCTCTTGAACATTAAGTGAGTATTTGAATTTTATTTTCTAGGCAATACGGAATCTGACAGGTACTGGCGATAATCTTCTGGTAAAACTACAAGTAGTAGACTTGCGATATAACATTTTAGAAGTTATAGCAAATGAGTCTTTCATAGATATCCCATCACTGATTTCACTTTATCTATCTGACGCTGGGGTTAAAATTATAGAAGAAAGAGCTTTCTCAGGACTTGGGAAATCTCTGCAAATGTTAACAATTGCCAACAACGATATTCAAACTATGGATGAAGGAGTATTCAGCGGCTTCGATATATCCGGTTGGTACCTCAAAATACATGTTTTCTGTATGCTTTACACTCAAAAATGTTTGTGAGGAACTCACAATCAGTATGGATAGAAAAGAGAAGAATTGTGAGTACCTAGCTTCTTATACAGGGTGGCCCATCGGAAACGTACCGCAAGGCATTACAGGCTGGGAAAGAACTTTTCGATAAAATCCGAAAACAAGTCAAGTTTGTTTGTCAGGGGGACATATTTTGACGTAACAAGCATAGTAAAACCTTCAACCTCAACATTTTTTTCAAATGGGAAGGGTGGTCAAGCGATACCTCTTCAGAAGGGGCTTGTCCTTCCCTATACTGTGCTGCTTAGATTCTTCAAATCGATCTACTCTTTCAGAAAATATGGAGCGTTGAAACTCCAACCATCATTTGGGACGAAAAATACAAAAATCGGTTCAATGGGGAAGACCACTGAGAGAAGAAATCCGTGCAATGATGCAATGATGTACAATCAATATTATGAGTTAAAGTTGAAGGGAATCGAATCTATATACTCAGCATATTTCATTCGATATTTCAAACAGCCAAATATGATGGTGGAGTCGTGACGTATTAGCTATCTCTCTCGGATACCTCGTCATTCTGCAGTGTTGCAGTGTGATTGGTCAGTTCAAGGACAATTGGCGTGTTGGGAATAAGACGTCGCACCAGTCACACCAATGAATTGACAAAATTTCAAATAGCGCAGGAATTGTTTGTTTTGAAATGGACATATTCGTATTTATTATTTTCATCGTCTTAGCATGAATGAAAAAAACCAAAATTAATTCGCTGGTAGTTTTTCAGTATAGAGTTCACGATAATGTCATTTTAAAAAATCAGTGGTCTCCCCCATTGTACCTCAGAACTCATTCATTAGTCAAGTAAATGTTCGGAATGCTGTCCGTCAACCTGCATATAGTGGTATAAGCTATTTTCAAACCGTTGTCGTACACATTCTGGAGCATTTGGGGTGTCACTTCGCGACATACGTTAATGATTCTTTGACGCAACTGTTCTAATGTGTCTGGTCGTGTTTTGTAAATAAGGCTTTTGATGTGTCCCCACACAAAAAATCTGAAGGACTTAAGTCGGGTGACCGAGGTGGCCATTCTATTGGGCCCCGTCGTCCTATCCATCGTCCTGGAAATGTGTCATGTAAATAATTGTGCACATTTTGGGAATAATGAGGAGGAGCTCCGTCTTGTTGGAAAATCAGTTCCTCTTCATGGAATGCGGGATCGTCTCAATGATATTTGTTAGAGCTGGGTCGATGGCATTTTGTAGTAGATCCAAGTACATATCGCCTGTTAAATTTCCAGGAAGGAAAAAAGATCCTACAATGGAATTTCAAACAATACTAGCCCACACATTTAACTTCTGGGGGTGTTGCGTGTGTGTTTCGTGGAAAATCCTTGGATTGGTGTCAGCCCAGTACCGGCAATTGTGGCGATTCACTAAACTGTTGAGGAAGAAGGAACACTCGTCCGAAAAACACACATTGAGTAGAAAATTACCATTGTGTAACGCTCGCTCACTCATAATTTCGCAAAATTGCAAGCGACGATCAAAATCGTCTTCATTCAGGTCGTGCACTAAGCGAATTTTGTATACAAGGATACAATTTGTATTTTTTCAATACCCGTTGGACACTGGTATGAGACACACATTCAGTACTGGATTTTCAAGATCTCTCTTTTTGTTATGAACTGAACCAGTTTAGCGAAATTCGTTCACCAATTCGCGAACAATTTTTCCAGAGGCATGAATGTCAGGATGTCGTTGGTTAAACAACTCCGCGACCCGATTTCCACATTCATCGTTCATAAAAAAAGCTCAATTATTCCCACTCTGTCTGCAATTGAATACACCATAATAATAGATGTTGAAGTCAATAATTCGTGAACACTTCAACCACGACAGGTATCTAGCAACTACTCGACCTAATTCAAACGTGAAGAAATGAATCCTATTCATTTTTTATTCTCTAAAATGAGCCTAAATAAATATGTGCATCGCAAAAACAGCGAATCGGCAAAAATAGCGAATTCATTTGAAGGAACTTATTGCAATAAAGTACAATTGAACCGATTTTTGTATTTTTCGTCCCACATGATGGTTGGAGTTTCAACGCTCCATGTTTTCTGAATGAGTAGATCGATTTGAAAAATCTAAGCAGCACTGTATAGGGAATGACAAGCCCCTTCTTAAGAGGTATCGCTTGACCACCTTTCGGATTTGAAAAAAAAAATTGGGGTGACACCCCTACTTAGGGGGTGAAGGTTTTACTATGCCTGTTTCCGGATTCTATCGTAAAGTATATTCATAAGATAAATTATCTCTTCTTAGCAGTCGAATAATTTTTTCTTTATAATATGTACAAGACCCAAAAATGTATGTAAGTAACTAACAATCAGTAGCTATCGAAAAAAGGATTGGGAGTAGTTCTTCATATTTCTGAGACAAATAATCTCTCACTTGTTGATCTTAATTTCCCACATTGGTTATCAGTTTCTCAAAAGTGGCGAGACACTTATTCATTTTTGGGTGTGAATGTTCAATACACTGAGAATTAACTTAACTAATCTTTATTCAGGTCGAATTAAAATAGACGGAAATCCTTGGAGATGCAACTGCACACTCGAGTGGATGAGACATTTGTACATAGAAAAACTGGAATCCTATTTCGACAATGGAAACGAGCTTTTCTTATGCCATGACCATGGAACATTCAGAAACTACACGGATGTGATCTTCTGTCCATCTGCATCTACTATCAATACCGACACAGAATCAATAACAGAACCATTAACATCAACAGTCACAGAAACCGTTAACACTATACAACCAGCAACATCAACTACCAGTAGTACTGATTCCTATAAACCAATCACAACTGATCCTAGTTCTGAGACTACTTCTATTGTAACTAATGGGACAACTATTGTAACTAATGGGACAACTATTGTAACTCATGGGACAACTATTGTAACTAATGGGACAACTACCACATCCTCTGTAACAGCTGTATCTACAGTTCAACCTAGTAGTAGTAGTAGTGGCAGTAGTACCCAACCAACATCAACAGTACCAAGCGGTAAAGAATTATCTTGCGAAATTTTTGAACAGAATCAATTTCCAACGTGGAATAGCTCTCATCCCAGTGGAATCAGAGAAGCTGATAGGGACAAGATAATTTACACCTTTGAGAGCATGGATGATACTCCATTTTATACCGTGGAAATTAAAAATGCACTTCCAAATGGGGTTCTCTTATGGATTGACAGTCAACGTCAGGAAAAATATGGCTGCATAAGTGATATCACTGACAAGATAGAGCTTGATGTCTTGGAATACACTCAGAGTTACTTTTTGTGTTTGCTGAATGACAGTGAAGGAAAGGTTAATCCGTTCGACTGTACTACCCTCGTGGTTCCTCCCAGGTGGGGAGCTAGAACATGGATCCCAAATGACTTCAAATATGCTACAATCGGAGGAACATTAGCTGTTATTCTAGCTGTGATACTCCTGACAGTTGTAGCCGTCGTACTGACCCTTGAGAAAAAGCCTAGACTGATAAGAGAATACAGGAAGTATATGCCTAATCAGAACTTCCTAGTCAAAAAGAGTACTGCACCATCACTGTATTCCATGAGTGACGGTTATCTTATTGCCAATATGTATGAGACGATCAATAATCTCGAACAAGTCGGTAACTATGACAGTCTCAATTATGAGTTACCTCCATTACCTCCATATCGATCACGTGATTTTACTAGGGAAGAGAAGTGGATTACTAGCGAATGTTTGGTTACTCCTAGAAGAACGAATTCTCTAAAATCGGTATCTAGGAGAGATGGGAGTTCACGGAATAAACATCCTTACTCTCATTATTCCAGATCTAAAAGCATTCCTGGTGAACGAATTTGCCCAGTCTTTGTGTTCTGATGGTGTTGTCATGTGAAGTAATGTTATAAATAGTTATGTACAGTAGGTTAATCTTAGATGTTATTCATTGAAATATTTACCCATGTTGGTACCCTCCTTAGTCCGATATCATAAAATATTCTTTGTACAAGCGTGCGTGATTCACCCTATACCTGCACGCAATTTAGTTTGGGAAGTGTCATTTTCCCGCAGTAGTGCGGGAAAAGTTTTCCGACACTAGTGCGGGAAATATTTTCCTACACTAGTGCGGCAAAACATTTATGTAATATTCTCGCAAAATATGAGTGGTGGGTGACACAATATGAAAATTTCAGGCTTCTTTATGGCAGTAAGTCTGTACAAAATCATCCATCAAATTGCACTATTCATTGTGAAAATGAAGAAATATTGAAAAATAGTAATTGATTGTTATTTAAATCCCCCTATAGCCTTTAATTGATCTCATAGTGGAAGGAGAAGATGGTGTGCCTACGCGCATATTATGTGACGTCATCTGGGATACCCATATCAGCTGTTAGTCACAGACATTACCGTTGCCATAGGCGTGCACAATGAATTCAATCACGTTTATTGAAATTTCTATGAGTTTCTCGATCTGTTTATAAATAAGTCAATTTATATAAACAGGTACCTATTCCTTCGATTTTACTATTTCATTGATTCTGGAGATTGTGTCGTTGAGGTAATTCGCAATCGCAAATAGCAAAAACATAGGAATTATCATGCATTGCCATTCCCATCTGAATGATCCACTACTGTGTCGATTCTAAAAGATTCAAATTCAGCAGTTAACGACGTTGACGTTGCTTCTGCTCCGACATCGACAACAGGAGTATCAATTTTTGCCGTTTTTTAATTCAAATCTTTGCTGCAATTTATATTTTGTGAGAAATTAAGAGTTTTGAATTCATTTTCAATTATTTCTGACTTGATATTCGACGGAAGATGTTCTGTAGGAATGGCATCTTGTTGCAAATATTTGTGATTTTTTGTCAAGAACCGTACTTTCGCAGTTGTTTGGGAACATTTTGCATGGTAATGTTCTGAAGAAATACATGCTTGTAATATGAATGTGATGACAATATGATAGGAGATTACTTTGGAATGAGGATATAAGGAATATAAGGTAGGTACAATTATTTGAGTTTATATTCTGTTGATGGCAGCAAGCTCCCATCGTTTCATTAGGTCTCCATTCTTGGAAAAGCAGAAATATTCAAAATGCCTTTTGTATATTAGTTGAAATTTCCATAACCAGAAACGAAACAAGTGGGCATTTCGAAATTATATCATACAATTTTAGTACTTATATTATATCTGAAGTTCGAGACAACAATCAGGAAAACAAATAATAGAAATGACAGTTATATCCCAGCGGACGTCATGCGCAAAACAAGACGAATTTGAGCTTTCTGTTGAGCACACCTTCTCCTTCCACTATGATTGATCTGATGTGGAAAACAATTGTTGTCATGTCAATCAAAACACAAATTAGTTGGTGTAATTCTCAGAGTGAAAGACAGAGCATTACTGTCATTTTAGATTCAGTAGAATTGCGATTTAAAACTATCAGCTACAGATGCGATACAGATGAGTTATTGCCAACGATGTCTTAAGAAAGGTATGAGAAGCACTACACGGGATTCATTGAATGGTGCAATAGTTAAAAAGTGGAAACACCAAATGAAGAAGGAGTATTTTTGGCTCATTTCCTTGAAATGTCTGAAACCTAGAGGCCAAACACCATGGGCATGCTGGCTTCCGCAATAAGCTACTTTTTTGACCACTTTGAACGATTACTTCAATCAATTCCCTCAACCAAATATTCAAGTATCAATTTGGTCTCAATTACTATCATTTCATATGATAAATCAATTGCGAATTCCAACTTCTTGTCATTCCAAAATACTTGCATTGATTATGGCAAATCCCAACTCGAAAACAGCTACTCGCAGTGACCTCTACCAGGAATATATATTTAACACAAAATTGTTCTAGAAATTCAATGTTCTACTATGAAACGTGATACAGGTACGCACAAAAAAAGATGACATTTCAAGACTCAATAAAGACATATAGGTGGCGCCACCCCCACGAAAGAGACAAACTAACAGAAAATTTGATATTGTCATTGAAAAATACCCCGAGATACCGGGTGACCAGTTATATTCTGACCCATTTCAAATGCTTATATCTCTGAAACCATTCAAGTTATCGTTGTGCAGTTTGGACTAGTCTATTTTGATATGTTTCAAATTTTTTTTGACAGGTTCACCTTCTCTCTTGAACATCCGGTTCTACCGGAAACAAACTAGCCATTATTCAGGTATAGGGCAACTTTTTTATTTCATTGAATCACCCTGTATATTTTCGCACATTCAGAAAGACTGGTCTTTCTTCTTTCTAACAATGTATAACAAGTTATGTTTTCTCAGAAAACTATCAGAGTTATAACTGTTTGAAACAACTACTGCATGTGGAATGGTTTAATGAGATTTTGCAATGTAACCAAAGTCGTCTTAGGAAATCCTGATCACAACACATGAAATGCCAGATAACATGTGTCAAATAAAGATTGTCGAGCATTTGTACTTTCTTCGAGTTGAAATAATGTTTACTTTGACTGAAAAAGCAAATGAACTCATCATAAATCTGCATCAGATTTATACTCAATATACGGTAATTCAGCATTTCAAGATAACATCCTAATATGCAGTAGATGCTTCAAAGAGTTATAACTCTGATACTTTTCTAAGAAAACATAACTTGTTATACATTGTTAGGAAGAGAAAAGACCAATCTTTCTGAATGTCCAAAAATATATATACCTGAATAATGGCTAGTTTGTTTCCGGTAGAACCGGAAGTTCAAGAGAGAAGGTGAACCTGTCAAAAAAAACTTGAAAAATATCAAAATAGACTAGTCCAAACTGCACAACGATAACTTGAATGGTTTCAGAGATATAAGCATTTGAAATGGGTCAGAATATAACTGGTCACCCGGTACCAAACAACATTCTAATATCACGATTATATTAAAGTTTATTGATAAATCAAAAATAAGAATTTAACTTTGACACTCTTGTATCTCAGAAACGAATAACTTTCGGACATTTATTTATACAAACTTTTCTTCTTATTTTGACGTCAGCAACATGTTCCTGAATTTTCTACACGTACTGAAGAAACACCCTGTACATATATATGAGTAAGATGTCACTGCCTTCACTTTTTCTGTTGGTAAGCCTAAAAGACAAATCCAATCGATTCTCAGTGACACTTTGTTCTGAAATGTGCTCAAAAAATTGAAGAAATATTGATATATCAAAGAGGTGTCGAATTTTTAGCTTTGGACGTATCGGGAACGAATCTGCTCCCGTTTTCAACATAAGAATTGGAAATATTATTCTTCTCGAAATGTCTTCTGATTTCAGTGACAGATGATGATGTAAACAAATGAGTTACAGAGGAGATTTTCATCATGTTTGCACTTATTGTAGTAGATACCATGTTCAATCTACTGACAAGATTTCGAAACGGGCTTAAAAGTTTTCAGCACTGGATGTTCTCTCTCCTTGTATATTATATGTGATTGATCCCCGTTTCATATGAGGTTATTAGGGTTACATCCACTCCTCCTAAGGGGTTGAATTTATTGCAGCGGTGATAAGAGAGCTGACACCGTCCATGTGCGACGATGTTTTCAGGAGACGACTGTACCTACAATACATATTTTCCCTCTTTCCACGGAAAAAATAGGGATTCCCTTTCGTACGATCCAGAAGAACACAAATCCAAAATAGAAATGAAACATTCCGGATAATGATTGAAATATCTTTATCAACATCATATTTGTAAACATGATGTTTGATTTTCAAAGCAATGATTAGCTATAGCGAGATAGGCAACTATATCAAAATTACAGTCGTTTAAAACTATCTCGATAATTACTAGATTAGTGACGTATCTGGATGGCTGCCAAATAGCGAAATCGGGTAGAAAATTCACCGAAGCGGATCACGTGACTTCCGTGCCATTGTGCCAGATGATTTTTTTATAATCGCAGACATACCTATAAATCCAGGGCCGGATTTCGAATTGATCAAAGCTTTACTTCTCCATCTCCTGTTTTTTGAAATGAAATAACTATATGTATAGATGCCTTTTCAGTTATTTTTTCAACAATGAGACTTGTTTGGTGTATTAACTTGTTGCATCTTGAAAAGTATCTATAGGTTTTCAGTAATATCGGAAAAATGTTGATTTCTAGAGTATTCATATTCCATTTTTTTCCTCATTATCATTAAAGATACAGTGATATATAATCTGAGGATATTCCTCCATATCAACAATTATTGCTTCCTCAACTAATGATATTGATTTCTCTATACCACGTTTCGTATTCGTAGTTCGTAGATCGTTTTCACAGATCCTGAAACATTTTTTTCATCCTGAATACAAACTTATATATACTATAAAAACGGTCTGAATGTGTATCGAACTAGTTTTAGCCATCATCAATGTTTTTTCAGAGTTTCAAAGCGAAAATAACATCGATACTTCTCGAACATAATAGGGATTTCCTTTTGTGCACTCCAAAAGATATAAATAAAAAAGTAGGTAGGTAAAAAACAAAAACAAATGCCGCTATCTTCCTTTCGAAACCCCTCTGATAAACACAAGGAATATCATACAATTTGACAAGAAAATTGTAATTATACTATGGTGCAGGCATCCAGCAGAGGAGGAAGTCAAGGACAAATTGTTGTTAGCTCCGACTCTGCATTGAGGCTTACCCAGAACTATATTTAATTCATAATTAATAGCTGGTTATTCGAAAATTGGAATAATTATGAAATCTATTTCAAGAGTGTTGAAGTTTTATATGCCAGTACAATTTCAATATCCTCGCATTTCCGAATCCCATTGTGTCTGGAATATATCGGGGAAAATATACCCAAAATGTCAGCGGTAAGTTATTTGAATTCTATCAACTATAATCATGTTAACTTCATTTGATTTTCATCACTTCTGTGTTCCAGGAAGAACTAAGCAAAGATCAGATCGCATGTGAGTATACCTATTGTTAGAGTGCCTCGAACTCATTTCACGCCCTTCAAAGGGTTTGGACACACTTGTCGTGGGTCACAAATATTCTTTTTTATGTTCTGGTTCCCACGAAAACGGATATCCTGTATTGTTCAGAGAACATCGTGAGAACCAAGAGAAATGAAGTAGGAGTTGGTGTTCTTCTTGAATTTTTGGAGGTTATATGCCTCGGGGTACTTTTCCCTTGGTTTTCCAGAGCCTAGCTGTTCGTTGGATCAACGAGTCTTTGGAAATAGATGTTCTGCAGGTCTCCAAAGTGACCACAAAAGGGCCAGATCGCCAACTTTTCTACGGTGTTCCGAAGAAGTGAGTGAGTTTGTGAGCGAGAAAAGTATCCCAGGACAGGTCGGAACTGTGCCTTGCAGATCATAAAAAGCTGACTGGAAGTGAAATAGCTCCTAGCCCGAAACAAAAAAACAAGTGTTTGTGATGCACTTCTACCAATTGATCTCACGTGATTTTCCCAAGAACGGTTATTGCTAATAGTAATACCAAGCATCGAAATGGATGTCTTCGAAGGTATGGTTACTCCTGACATCCTTATGTTGGGCACAGTGGAATCGGCTCTCCTAGAGAAAAGGCATGCTTGTGCTTTGTTTGCATAAAAATCTACCAAGTTATTGGATCCCCATTCTAGAATTGTTACCAAGTCCATATTTTTGTTATCTATCAACATTTCTCCCTCGTTCGTTTCTGATTTTCCTGGCTGGTATTGGAGCCCTGGAAGAGAAGGCGGTATGAAGGGTAGGGTGCAGACATTATTATTCGAAACCCTAACAGTGGCGTAACACCAAAGGCACATACTGCTCATTTTGAAGTTATATATCGATATAACATCATTGAATGAATTGCCAAGGAATAAATATTGGAATTTGAAGCATCAACAAACACTTGCATGTCTTTTCATCTTTGGACAACAACCATCATTCTCAGAATTTTTGCAATTCGTTATCGTATCGTTCTCACGGGGACGCCTATCCAATTTTCGGAACTGACATTTTGAATCTGAGGATGATGATAATTCAGAAATGTCAGTGTTGACAAGCGTGTCCACACTTTGAAGGGCATGTAATGAGATTTTCGAGGCACTCTACCTATTGTTAATGAAAAATCAATTCCTTATCAGTCAAATCTTACAGAAATTATTTTCATCTCACGTAAACTTGAACAGGATGCTGAATATGAGTTTTCTATATTGCAATGTTCACACAATAGAAGTAGCATGAATATAGGAAACTGTGATATCTGAATTCATCTAGGAGTGTTTCGATAGTTAATTTCAAACACATCTCCTGCTACACGGAAAAAAATGAATTGTTGAATCAAGCAGAATTTAATTGAATAGAGCAAATGAATGTGTCATATATGCACGACAAAATATAATCTTGAAATGAGTAAATCTATATCTTGTTTCAGAGCGAATTTGAAGTTTGAATCAAGTAAATATGTCTTGCATGAACTCTGGATCTTCTTCAATCAAGCACATCCATGAATTGTTTATGAAGAGATATTGAATTGACTCAAACAAACATTTTGTTTGATTCAAAACAACAATATATTGATTCAATCAAATATTTAGTTGATTCAACGAAATATTTGGTTGATTCAAAGAAATATACAGGAAGCAACTAGATTCAAAATTAACTCAAAAAAATATCTGCTTCAGAGACTTTGATAATTCCATTTCTTATTTGAATACCTACTTATAAAAGACTAGGTTGATATTGCATGATTATTTGCATTTTTTTTTTAACTTGTTATATCTTATTATAATTTCATAATTGTATGTATAACATTATGTATAATGTTTATGTATCCCTATTATAAACAACTATGTTTCTTGGGGTAATAAAGACAATCAATCAATTTGGTGGATTCAATGAAATATTTGGTTGATTCAATGGAATATTTTGTTGATTCAAGAGAAACACACGAAGAATCAGGCGAAATGATCGCCATCTAGAGGCAAAAATTCAAGTTGATGTAGAATGAACGAAATATTTCATTGATATTACATATTTCGTTGCTCTATTCAAGCAAATGATCCGTTCGAAACGAGTTCATTGACACATCGGAATAAGACAACTTGTATGTTGTTTCAAAGATATATTCTCATCAAAATGATCATTATTTGATCAAATCAACGAAATGTTTATAGTTGAATCAACATCGACATTATTTTGGATCGACATAATTTGTTTTTGAAGAAAGCATATATTTTGTTGATGGAATTGATATTATACTGTTGATTCAATTAGACTACATTCTTGATTTGAACAAGCTGCTTCCATGGAATAATTATGTGGTTGATTCAACAAAAAATTGCTCAGTCCAACAAAAATAACTCGAGCATAAATAATTTGTTGATGCAACAGATCCTTTTTTCCCGTGTAATCTTTTGTGGGCAAAAAATGCTCGACTGTGCTGTCATTGGGTCATGTATTGCTTCAGATGGAGGTCATTGGATATCTGTCTAGTGATTGCTCTGCAGTGAGAGCCACTTTTATCAGTTCGAATCTCAGCATAGATTTTGAGAGGATTCAATTCAATCAACTACTAAGAAGTTAAAATTCTCAAGGTGTTCACAGAGGGTCAAAATCTCAAAATGTTTGAATAGTTGAAGAAAAATGACAGTAGTGTTGATTTTTGGTCGTTGATTACCATAATTGGATTTTGTCAAATTCTAGTGCTTATTTAGAAAAACTGAAAACTTTATTTTCCGTTATCATGACCGCCGGAACATTTTCTGATTCACTAAGAAATTAACCGTTCTGATATCAAACTATTCCTAGCACTAACTCATAAATGATTTGGCAGATTTCATCATTAAGGCAATAATTAGGATATCCATTTTTTAACTCCACAATAATTGATTAACATTCAAGTGGTGCGAATTTGGATTCCCAAAGTAGAATAACTTGTGCTTAGGGAAAAAAATATTATAAATATATTTTAATACACTCGAAACGAAACAGTGATGTCGAATTCATCTGTGAGCATTTTCAACTGAGAAAAAGCTATATCTATATAGGTATATTGTTCCTTGGCCGTTACTTTTGAAACCATAATTGTTCATTCTTTTTTAGTACTGAAGAATGCTTTCGACACCTTCGACGTCGAGAAAAAAGGTAGTATTGGTACTGTCATGATCGGTACCATATTGAGCATGCTGGGAATCCAAACCACAGATTCGATGTTGAAAGAGATCATTGACGAAGTTGATGCAGATGGTAATAATTTCCAGTGTTCCCAACAGCTAATTTCGAGCGAGCATCACAGGCGAATATTTTATGAGCCATTTTCTGGTTCATCTAGCAATTTTTGCAATTTATCTAGCGAAAACAAGATAACTGACTATGGACTACGATTCTGACAATGAAAATTCAAGTCTAGAGCTTAGATTCAGAGCTAGAATCTACTCTCAAGATGACTCTACTGACTCTAGTAGTATTGACGACTGACGTTGACGTATGACGTGATGTGTTGACGTCATTGACATACATCAATATTTCTTCGATTCATGCGCACCCAGTTTGTCGAAAGAGCACAAACTTGAAGGTATGGAGTACAAAATCCATTGAAATACAGACTGGACTGAATTTAACTTAGATTAGATCGTGAATCTAATGGGAATATTATAGAAATGAGAATATTTTTATAGAAATTCTGAATATTAAATAGCAAGAAGAAACGGCTCTATGGCTAGATGTAATTTTCAGTAGCTAGATGGATTCAAAAAAAAATTGCTGAGTTGGCAGCACGGATGATTTCACATATCGGGGATATACCTCCCCAATCCAATGTAGTTCTCTGCATCATCATTAAATTTGGTACAACTTCATCTCAGTAGATGTTATGGTTTGACGTTGACGCATTCTCCACTCATATTTTTAATAACTCATTGATTTTTATATTTCCAACTTTATCCAGTATAACTATACATAAATTATCACACACGAATTTTTCATCTATGATTCACTGATAAAATTATTGGGGTTTTATTCAATTCAAATCTTTTCGACTCCCACTTTCCCGAGTGGTTTTCAAGGAAAGTTTACCAATATCGTAAATATTTCAAAACTTATGTTGGAACTTTCACTATTCTTTCCATTTCTATTTTTCATCACAACAAATGAACAAGTTGCTTACATTCAATGAAAGGCAAATCTTTGGTAGATACGAGGATTCAGACCTTATCAGTATAACATTGTTGCTTTGATGCTTGATAGTTTCTCCCTGATTGATTTCAAGGAAAAATATCATGTCATCAGATCATTTAGAATGTCATTTTGTGTGAATATGGGACAGAGAGTCACACAAAATGCGGTTCCTAACGATTCACGTACAATATTTTCTTTGACCAGTCTACCGATTATGTACAAAATTTAGTAGGCAATAAGTTGACTTCGCTTGTCACTATGAAGTCTTCGTCGAACGAATATATGGTAATAAATCAACGACGAAATTCACGAAATAGACTTGTTTGATATTTTCATTAGTGAAAAATGACTGATTCAGATTTTCCAAGTGATATCGAGAAAGCAGCACAAAATGCACTTGTTTCTCCGTCCATTTTTATTATCATTACGTAACTGATGGTGTTGTATTGAACATTTCAACATCAGTTATGTCATATTTCACTTTCTGCAGCTAGTAACGAATAGTGAGACGTATCAAAATTTCTGTCAGTTTTGAAGAGTCACATTGCATGTCAACATTAGGAAACAAAAAGATGTTTGTGCTTGGTCTATGACAATAGCTCAAATTGTATATACTTTCACGGGTAAGAACAGGTCAGATAGTAACAAATTCTAGTGACGTGTAACGTTGAATAAAGCTTGCTAAATAAAGTTGATTGGCAATAATTTTGTAATATCAAATAATTTCCATCTATTGATTTGATCACATTGGATTCATTCTCAAAAAATGAATGTATACAGAATTATCCAAATGAGGTGTCATTCGTAATTTTTATATTATATTGGAACTACATCGATTAAATCAGCAAGCTATTAGCATCTTTTTGGTTGAAATTCTAAGTATTCCTCATATAATATACGCACTTGCCCAATAAGCAACTATTTACGAGATGTCAGTTGAAAAATGGAAAACTGATGGTTTTTACAATCCTTGAAACTAGTGAAATTGACTAGTTTTCACTGTCAAATCGGCCTAGGCACGTTAAATGAAGAATGCTCAGAATTTTGATTGAAATTCAGAGAGATACGAATATACAGTGTGTTTCACTAAAAATAATATTATTTATATTATTAACTCGAAAACTTAATGCTACGTTCTTCTGTTTTTACTATTATTACCTTACAAAACAAAGCATGTTATAATAAGTTTGCTAATTCATTCAATGTCGTAATTTCAAAATTATAGAAGTTACCGATGACGAACACTTAATTTTGGAATGCTTCAGGGTCTGGAGAACTAGAATTCGAAGAATTCATAACGTTGGCCTCGAGATTCATGGTAGAAGAAGATGCTGAAGCTATGCAACAAGAATTGAAGGAAGCTTTCCGTCTATATGATAAAGAAGGTCTATATGAAATAAATCCTGGAATTCACGATTCATTGTGATAGTAATTCGCTTGCAGGCAATGGGTATATTACAACTGGAACTTTGAAGGAAATTCTGAAAGAGTTGGATGACAACATAACTGGAGATGAACTAGACGCCATGATAAATGAAATTGACGCTGATGGATCGGGAACAGTTGATTTCGATGGTAAGGAAATATTCATTTATCATCTCTCAGATCACTTTATTACTTATAGATACACATTCGATATAGCATAGATATCATCCATTATCCTGAGAAGTTATAAGAATGTTACTGGGTCATGATTGTTTTATTATAGGATCAAAAGTGACACTTTGTATGACAAGCGAACTTGTGATTTGCGATATCTGAAGTTTAGAACATCGATCACGAAATAGTAATTTTCCTAACAAGTGCGGAAAGTGATTATTTCCCGCACGTGACTGCCGTTGACACGAACGACGCGAAGCGGAGTTCGGGCAAGCAGTCGAGTGCGGGAAAGAAACTTTCCGCATGAATTAGGAACAATATTTTTTCTACAAGCGTAGGAAATTAATTATTAGTAATAGCTATTGTGAACTTACAGTTTGACGCATTATGTTGGTTCATTGCGGAAGCCAGCAGGCCCATTAGGAGTTTGGTCTCTAGGTTCCAGACACTTCTATGAAATGAGCCAAAAGTACCTATTCTTCATTCGGTTTTTTCATTTCTTTATTGTTGCATCATTCAATGAAACGCGTGTATAGCTTCTCTTTCTTAAGACTTCGTTGGTGATAACGCATCTGTATCAAATCCCTATAGCTAGAAGTTTTTGATCACATTGTGGCATTTCCACTGAATCGAAAATGACAGTAACGCTGTGTCTGTCACTTCGACAATTTCAAATTTATTTGAGGTTTGATTGGCATGACAAATTGACGTTTCCCGTCAGATCAATCCAAATCTATAGGGGGATTTTTATAATAATCAATTTTTATTTCTCAATATTTCTTAATTTTTACAATAAATAGTGCAATTTGATGGATGATTCTGAACATACATACTTAATACTGCAACAAACAAACTTAAACTTTTATATTCCATCACCAACCACTTATATTACTAGCGATTTTATCATATCTTTGTTTTCCCGCACTGTTGCGGGAAAATGACACTTCCCAAACTAAATTGCGTGCGGGTATAGGGTGAATCACGCACGCTTGTAGAAAAACAAATATCCCAGTTGACGTCATGCGCAGAACAAGACGAGTTTGAGCTTCCTGTCGGGCACACCATCTTGTCCTTCCACTATGACTAAAACTAGGGTCCCTTGATGTAAATTGACGTATTTGTCATCTTAACAGGGTACGGACAGATCCTCGTCTCCTCTCACTCTGAAGTGTTCGTGAAACAGTTATACATATAGTTCCATCTTTATTCATTTCTGGAGATAAACACTAGATTTCTGACATTTGTTGTTTTTTAGGTTATTTTTAGGACATCGGCGTATCATACGTAATTTCCACATGTAATTTTTCATTCAACTCAACATATTATATCCAAATGATGATGATAATTTTCGAGTTTTTGATTTTTCAACTCCAGCATAATCTTTGTGAGGCATTGAGATTAATACGTTTCACCAAATGGGACTGTTCTTAGGCAGTACCTATCAATAAATGAATTTTGATTTCAGACTAAGCCTTATGGTGGAGAAATGGTGGAAAATGTTATGTAGGTATTCAAACTGAAGTGCTCATATGTCATGTGTGCTGTATATATTCATGTTGGGAATCATTTTTGCAGTTTTTCACTTAATATTTCCTGAATGTAGGTATAATTTTTTGAATGGTAGGGCATATGCCTCTACTTTGAATCCTCCGTTTAATCAAAACTGTTTTTACTAAAATGCATTCATAAAGTTGTGGAGTGGATAATTATAGGCACAATGAGAATGTATAGTATGTGATTTCGTATTAGTTTCACCTCGAATATTCTGCTGATGTAATTACCAATTTTCTCCATTCGGTCACCTCACTTTCCATATTTTGAGTTCATTTGCATTTGATGGAAAGCTGACACATTCAAATTTGCCGTCCAACTGTTTGATACAGCCTAACGCAGCACATTTCACCATCCTTCCAAAACAGAATTGAATAATGTCGTATTAAGATCAAGTATGAAATTAAAATTTTGTGAGATCTCTTTTAACGCCTATGTATGTGACGTGACAGCAATGTCATGTCAGGGACGCCAATACACGAAACCAAAGTCACTAGATGATTGAAAGAGAAAGGAGCTATGATCGTTCCGTACCTTGTTAGATGACAAATAGGTGAGTTTACATCAAGGGAACCTAACTAAAACTAGGGTCCCTTGATGAAAATTGACGTTAAAGTCATCTTAACAGGGTACGGACAGATCATAGCTGCATTCTTTTTTAATGATCTAGAGACTTTAGTTTTGTCTACTGGCATCCCTGACATTGCTGTCACATCACATCCATGGGCGCTACAGAAAATCATTCAAAATTTCGATAATAGGTATGTACAGGGTGTTTACTTGTTGAAGATCATATGGCGAACGAGTTTTGTAATTATGATCTCCGATTCTATTCAAAATTGAAAGATATCTGGGGTTTTCCGGGGTTGGAGATAATGATTGTTTCGTCAAACTTGGAAAATTCAAGATGACCAGTCCCATATACAGGCTGATTCACGGTGGATGGCACATTAGACGTTTCTGGAAAACGCAACTCAGGATTATTCTGAATTGAAAAGTTGGTGCCTTGAATAATTAGTTGTGTTCTATCGACCTGAAATATTCTCAGCGCTACCACCGTGAATCAGCCCGTAAAGCGAAAGAAATTTCTAATTATGATCTGATTCTATTTAAGATTGGTATCTGGGGGTTTTCGGGGTCGAACTTTATGATTTTTTGTCAACGGGGTCGGAGGTTATAATTAATTCGTCAACATTGGAATTTTCATGATGGCGGATCCATTATGGTGGACGAGTTTTGTAATGGAGATTCGATTCTATTCAAAATTGGTATCTGGGGGTTTCCAGGGTAGGAGATAATGATCGTTTCGTCAAAATTGGAAAATTCAAGATGGCGGATTCGATATGGCGAAAGACATTAGTTTATATGATTATTACTCTACCACAAATAGAAAATATGTAGGATAATGCAAGAGTGAAAATAACGTGACTATAAGTTATACTGCGTATACCTACATCTTTGTTACTTCTATCAATCAATTGTTCGAAAATGACTTTTGATTTGAGGGGGACGGAAAAATCATATGTATAACATGGGGGTAAAGTATATTCTATTCTTTATTTTCCTGCATATTTTACGTATTACTTTTTATCAGCCTACTTTTCGTCCTAGACAAAGTTTTATACATGATATACGTGATATTAGTCATGCACTCCATAAATTCTTCACCGAGCTGGATTTCCAAAAATATATTGAGCACACATGAATAAGTACAGTAGTTTCGGTTTCCAACATTTCTAAATCACAAGGCTCAGCTCATTATGCTGATAGATAAACTTCTGCTCAGTTTGAAATCAGAATTCATTCAGTCAATTCAGTCAACCCTAGTATACAGTCTAAGAACAGTCTCTCTTAGTGAAATTTATTAAGCTTTCAGTACAATTTATATGTTCCCTACCTCGCAAAGATTATGCTGGAGTAGTAAACTCTAAATCTAGAGGACTGTTCATCTATATCTTGGTATAGTTGAATCAGGAATTCCATATGGAAATTACGTATGATACGCCAGTGACCTCAATATAACCTAAAAAACAACGGATGTCAAAAATCTAGTGTTTTTCCCTAGAATTGAATAAGGATGGAAATATATAACTGTTTCACAAACACTTTAGAGTGAGAGGAGACGAGGATCTGTCCGTACCCTGTTAAAATGACTTCAACGTCAATTTCCATCAAGGGACCCTAACTAAAACGGACTCACTGTTCACATGAAAAATTGAGACAGTGACAGTGACTCCCACATTCAGTTGAATTTCGGGTATGATGACCAGAGATCAGTCACCCACTGACTGATCTCTGATGATGACATAGCAGCAATTTCGTATCTATTTTCTGAATATTCTTGTGATTCTGTCAAACAGCCTGAGCTTTTTTCGTGGAAACGCGGACTGGCACTGAATTTCTAGCTTTATGACCTTGATACGCAATTTCTGACATATCGGCCAATGAAATGAGACCAAAAAGCGAAAATCCAGCATGTGAACGCGCAGTCATAGTGTATTGTTTGTTCTGAAATTGTTCTATCTGTCATTCGGTTGCCCCCTTCCGAGCAAATCTCAAAAATTTTCAAGAGACGTGTGCCAGCAAGGATCACGGGGGCCTTACCTTTTGTCGTGTGATACCAAACACTTCCTTGGGCCATCAGAAAAATGTCTGCAGTCGTTTGGATCCGAACCTACGACCGGCAAGCCATCGCGATTTTTGCTATCTCTTGGAGCGCACGAAAGGAAATTCCTTTAGAATACGAACGTGGTAGAAACGCGGCTACCTGGCCGCCTGGCCTATAGAAAGGGGTGATTGTTTGACCCGTTTCAGGAAAACAACTTTCTATGAACGTATAGCCTAAAAGTCTCAACTTTTGAGATACAGTTTGATGAACTTTTGAAAAAAAAATCATTTTTTCAATAATGACTGGGATAATATTGTAGACATCTTCATGAAATTTGATACATGTCTTCTATGCATCAAGGTGCATTTTCTGATGTAGATAAATGTCCATTACCAGTGCCAACGTTTGGGGGATATTATTGTTTATATTTTACCTGAAAGTGAGCAATGAAAGAAATTTTACAAATTTCATGCAATGCTATGAAATGGCATTCGATTCTGTACAGAAAAATTCATTTTGTCAATACTCGATAGGACTCTTCGTTTTCAAGAAAAAACGGGAAAACTAGATCAGTATGTAACATTCTGAAATTTCAACACCGTTGCAGTAACATAGCAGACTAAAATTTTTCATCACAAAAAGCTATACGGGGTGGCCAAAAAATTAATAAATACACATATTCAACTTTGATACCCTGTATTTCAAAAGTTAGGACGTTTTGCGACACACGTTCATATAAAGTTTTAGTCTTGAAATGGGTCCAAAAATCGCCCCCTTGAATATTAGCATATAAATTGTTCAATGAATTGAGGAACGTCGCCATTTCCCCACTATAAACGACGCTGACTAGAATTATTTCATTACTTTCTTTGTTGGATATGGCAATTTTGACAAATACCTACCTCTAAGATATTTTCAGAAATGACAATACATACTGGTGATTTCATAACTGAGAATTTTTGCAATTATGTTGGATAATGTTTCCAATTCGTAACTGCAGAAACCCTTGACTAATAATTTTCTTGAATAATTTCCAGAATTCATGGAAGTTATGACAGGTGGAGATGACTAGGAAATGTCTAGAAATAATTTATGATCCTAATGCCTATGAAGCAGTCAGCATCATTTGACTGGGAAATAGAGGAAAATAATCCAACACAACAACACCCTAAGAATCTATTTTTAAATACTTTGATTGAAGCTGTACCGAAAGAATTCGAACAATGGCATGTTAGTGACTGTACGTGAATTGAAGTCAATAAAAGAAAAAGTTTCCAAGTATTTTCTTCTATGTATCCCCTCTCGATACCTTTCTATGAAAAGATATATTCTCCAGTGATGAACTGTTTATCTACAGTTCTTATTTGTTATTCCTGAGTGCGATTTAGAAGTAAAGTCAACATGGTAAGTGATGTTGGATATTTTTTTCAATGATGGAATAGAAAACAAATGTTTCGTTTCATTCAGTCGAATAGCACGAAACACAATATCATTCAACTGTTTAGAAAATTCATGAATAATACATTTGTTATTACATGTTCATTTTTCGTCAGTTCAAAGAATGTACAAAAGAGTAATTACTCATCTTTCTTTACTCCACATCTACAAGATTTATCTTGATAATATTTATAATCAACGTTCAAAGTTGAAAGATACCAGTATTCGCTTCAAAAACATTGATGCAACTTCTTTCTAAGATCTCTTTAAACTTTTGAGTTGATTTATCGGTATAATATGCTCTTTTCTCTGAGTATTTGGGATCAACTCTTTGTCACTATGAATGAGAATATGAGTATTTTTTTCAATATACCTATAGTGACAATGATAGTAGAAAAGAAAACGGAGGAAAATTTCATAATTTTACACAATTTCATCTAATGATCCACTGTAATTTCGAAAATAGGTTCAATAATCATTGTCAGAAATTAACATTCGATATCCAGTGTCACTAGTATACAGAGTATTTCAGACCAATATCCATGAGAAAAATTCTACTTATTATATAGTAGTCTATAAACATCTTTTCGATGAAAATGTTCTGAGAATTGATCGAATTTTGGTCCCCTTTTTCATCTTACGCATGAAACTAAATGTATCAATGATTTTCATATTCCAGGAAGACTTAGACAACGAACATTTGATGAGTAAGTACTTCAACTATCAAATTCGAATTCAATACGTATATTCACTTCATTTCAATTTCTACGTCTAGTGCTGAAACAAACATTTGATGTATTTGATGTGGACAGAAAAGGTTATATCGATATCGATATGATTGGAACCATCATGGATATGCTCGGAACACACGTTTCAACTGAAGAAATAGAAGTAAGCATTTACTAGATAAGATTTTTCGAATGATATAAATTTCAATAAATTCGAAAGTGTATAGGTTCAATCAGGAATCCTCATAGACCAAAAATTAATGAAAGTTAGATGCTTCATGAACTTGAAGTCGATGAGGTGTCCCAAAATTGGTGGGGCATAGAGCTACCAGGTATGATACAAGTCAAAATGAGTTGATTGGATCCATTTTATTGTTATAACAAAATGTAGCGTTTGTCCGTGACACGAGTTCGAGGTTTACATAAAAAAACACATTTTTGACAGAAGTGCATTTTAGCAAATCGCCCTTCTTTCGGTAAACATTGTAGAAACCCAAAAGAAACCGTGGAAGGGTTACAGTCACCCCAACCCCCTGACATTTTAGAGGTTATAATCGGTTCCTTGAGCGAGATGATTGATCAATTATCTTCATTTTGTTACTCTTGTGAAAGTTTCGTATACTGCATAGTTTAGACGAAAAAAAATTTCCTTGAATAATGCTAACAGGTATTCCTAGTAAAAGTTTGATATCATCATGACAAAAAAATCAGTTGACAGTGGAAACAGAGGTAGAACGTTATTTCTCAAATGAATGTTCAATATGACGTCCACTTCCATCAATACGAATGTCGATTCCTTTGTTTCCACTAACAACTAATTTTGTATCACAATGTTATCAAACTTTTACTTGTAATATATCTGTTGACATTATTTTAAGAAATAATTTTTTTTAAACTATGAGGAATACGAAATTTCCAAAGAAGTAACAAAATTGAGTCAATTAATCAGTCATCCCGCTTAAAAAATTTGAGAACATTATTATCACCCCTAGAATATTCAGAAAAAAATGTCAGGTGGTGAGGGTGATTTCCCTTCTACAATTTTTTTCGGGTTTCTTCGAAAACTTTCGTTTAGTTTTTTTTTTTTCGGGTTAACAGAAATGTGTTTTCACATGTGAACTCTGAATTCGTTTTACGGACAAACGGTACATTTTTTTATATGAATAAGTTGAGTACAATTAACTCATTCTGAACTGTATTACACGTGGTAGCTCTGGGTCCCAGCAATTTTGATGCACCCTGTTTATAAAATACACTATGATTTCCTTCCATTTAGATTTTTCATTTCAATTATCTAAAAATATTAACATTTCAACAGTAACAGTCCCGATATCAATCAAAATTTTATGAGGAGCAGTGTGTCTTTTATCAAAAACCGATTCGTCAGTTTTCTCACATGAATTATAAATGTTTGTAGAATATCATCGATGAAATAGATGAAGACGGGAATGGTGAAGTCAGTTTCGAAGAATTTGCTTCTATGGCAGCCAGATTTCTTGTAGAAGATGAAGAAGATACAGAAGCCATCCAGTTGGAATTGAAAGGGGCTTTCAGACTCTATGATAGGGATGGTGAGCAATTATTTGTCATTGAGCCGAATGTTATTTGATGAAAAAGTCAGTGAAACCCGAATTTCGATTGAACCTGGTTTATATATGTATCAGAATTTCCGAATGCTCCCCAGAAAATCCTAAACTCTGTCAACTTTTACTCTATAGAAGATTCATAAACAAATTCTGATTTTTAACGATTGTGAAAAGCAAAAGGACGTGAAGCACAAGGGTGGAGCGACATACACAAAATAGATAGGTTTCCTAAGTAGTTACGTACAATATTTTTTCTAATTCGATAAATATTTCCGCTTGAACAGAAGTAATCACCAGCTCTAAATGAGTTCTACTATAGGAACAAAGTAGTCTCTGTTCATTCAATTGAATCTTGCCGTTGATTTGAATCAATAACTCAATACATCAAATGAATTTCAAGTTGAAAACTGACAAGACAATTCTGTTGAAGTAACAAAATATTTTGTGGTGGATATATGACACTCAGATTTTGTTGAATTTTCAGAGTTTTCGGTGATTCAAACAATTTTTTTTTCGTGCTGGCATCGATTGAGAGTTAGGCTTGTTTTCCCATTGTTTTAAATGTGATCATTACGTCATCCAATGACCTTGGTCACCGCGAATACAGTGCAAGACAATAACAATGATTTTTTTCAGGAAATGGTTTCATAACCATCGAAGTTCTCAGGGAAATATTAAAAGAACTGGATGAACACTTGACTGAAGACGACTTGGACAATATGATCGATGAAATTGATACTGACGGATCTGGAACTGTTGATTGGGAAGGTATCTACAGGGTGATTTTCAATCTTCACGCAGGAAATTGGGAAATGATAGATCATCGTAATTAATTATCTACTAATATAATGCACAGAATATTTCGGAGGAGAAAATTTATTCAGGAGGCTATATATAATCAGAATTGATCAGTTATTTATATAATAACTATACCATTCATTATAGGAGCTATAAATTGCCATATTTTTTGTATATGTGAAAAATCATCATGTGTAAATCATTGTGTTCAAGACAAAAAAATCCTACAATCTCAATAGAGGTATCGAAAATGGAACACTTCTGGTTCGATGGAAAACTTGAATATGTAGGATAAAATCAGGGGTGATGATATTGTTCCTCTGAAATATCGAAACAACATTTATGATGGCTAAAACAATGCAGAAACACATTCAAAACCACTTTGTGTGATATATTTTTAGAGTCAGAATGGAAAAAGCTTTTGAAACCTCTGAACAAATAATCATTACCGATTATTTGAAAAGAGTTGGTGATGATACTGCGAATACGGAAAGTCGCATAAGAATAATTACCAGACTCTATGTCTCTCCATTAATGATAGCGTAGAACAAAAAATTGATTTTACGAAAAATCACTCTTTTCGATATATGAGTAACTGGAATTTTTGAAAGCTATTGGAAAGACGCTGTAAATGTGCAACTTCTTTCCCATTTAACTGAGTTTCTATCTCCTACTATTTTATAGATTTTCCTGTTGTATAACCTCATCTTGATCACATTGTATACTTAGTCTTCCTGTTTCAGAATTTAAAGCGGTGATGATTGGCTGAATACTTCTCAGCAGGCACTATCCGATCAGCATTTATCATCTTCAAGAAATCGAAATCTCATCATCTATTATAATATACCGTAGGATATTCCAATAGTTTGTTTTATACTATAATATATATAGCGAAGTAATAAAAGTATATAGCAGATGATTTCCTTTTTTTTTTCTCCAATTTGATAGTGAACTATGCCTGAACTGGATTACCAAAAAACCTGTCCAGTTATTATTTTAGTGCATCAAGCAAAACGTTGTTTATTTTATTTGCTCATGCAGCTGGAATATACAAATTTACACATCAATAATAATTGATGAGGTCAAAATGTAAGACATTTTCAGGTGGTTGGGACACATAAAATAATGTAGTTTTTCACTATTATTCCACTACTATTTCAATTTCACTAGAAATCATCTCTAGAATTCGAGATGAATGATTTTCAAACATTTATTAAGTGTTGTCTAATGAAACCGGTGTCATTTTTATGGAGATTTATTCTCAGCAAGTTCATTGATTTCAAATTTTTCAACTTCGAATACAGCAATAAAAGACTACGAAGCAACCAAGAAATTATGCTCAATATCTCAAAAAGTACAGGATATTCTAATTGTCAATTAAGAGACACATATGACAAATAATGTAACTGAATCCAGAAGAGTAAATCTTGGAGTCGTCAACAAAAATGCAATGTAAAGTAGATGCACTTGGGAGGCCAGGTAGCCGTGCGGACAGAGTGTCTATATTCTAATTCGCATTCGCTTACCGGTCGTGGGTTCGATCCCCGTCGACTGCAGACATTTTTCTGATGGTCCAAGAAAGTGTTTGGGATCACACGTTAAAAGATAAGGCCCCCGTCATTCCTTGCTCGCACAAGACTCTCGAAGACTTCTGAGGGTTGCTCGTATGGGGGAAACCGAATGACGGATAGAACAATTTTAGAACAATTTTAGAGCAAGCTGATGCTTGTACGTGTCAAAATGAACCCTGGTGAAAATTCCACACCAGTAATGTTTACCTAACCAATGTGATATTCTTTCATTCTGAACTAACTGACACATTTCACTTGAACTGAACTGAATCAATTGACATGCATTCTGTATACATAATGAACGTCATTCGAAAGACGTCCTAAAATAGTGATTTTGTGCTATACTTCAATAAATAGAAATCAATAATGGAAACACCTTTGTATATATTACGTATTCGTTGATTGAGGATCCTGAAATTTGCTGGAGCGAGAGATATACCAAAAATGCACTCTATGATCAAGTAGGGTCATCTTCAGTGATATACACTGCTCGCCAACAGCAATGGAACCACCCCAATTTCCGGAAAATTATATTAGGAGGCAAGATAGGTGGAATTTCACTCCGGATTCGGAATCAGGACGCCCAATTCACTAACTATTCATATTTTTCTGTACAATTTTCAGTTCTGAAAATTTCATTTCTGTATCCTTTTTCATAGAAACACCCCTGCATCTTACGTATTCGTTGGGTAAGGATCCTGTGATCTGCTGAAGCGAGAGATATATCAACAATGCACTATATGACCGATTGGGGCCATCTTTTGTGATATAAACTGCTCACCAACAGCCATTAAACCAGCCCAATTTCCGGAAAATGATATATTATAAAAAGGCAAAATAGGTTGAAAATAACTTTGGAATCGGAATCAGGATGCCCAATTCTGTAAATATCCATATTTTTCCTGAGAAAAATTTCAGATCTGAAAATTTCATTTTTTTTTTCACTTTTCATGAAAGCACCCCCAGTATGTTACGTAATTATTGATGTAGGCGTCCAAAATTTTTAGGAGTAACAAAGAGACCAATGACCAAGTAGGATCATCTTTAATGATACCCTGCTCGCCAGCAGCCACAGAACCACCGACATTCCAGAAGGAAAAATTTACCCAATCGGAAAATTCCCTCCATGGTTGTTTTGGAAATTGATAATCATAAAGTCAGTTCTCATCAGGGGTAATAAAATAACAATCAGAACTAGTGCAATCGAATAGATTATCAGATGACCCCACTTGGTCAGAGAGTCCATTTCCGGTATATCTCTCGCCTCAGCAGATTTCAGGATCCTAACCCAACAATTACGTAAGATATACAGGGGTGTTTCCATTAGAAGTGAGACACACTGTATATTATATAGAATGTCATCACTACCTGGGCCAGTGTAAGGCGTATGATGGAATGCTAATGCTAAGATTCGAAATGTTTGTGCTGATACTGCTGATACGCTTCAACAGGAAGATCTAAAACCTAAGGTGGACGTAAGAACATACTGACCTTCATCAGAAGGTCAAGGAGGTTCGAAATGGAGAATTATAGGAGAAGGAAGGGTAGGTATGTGTGTAGCAGGGGTGAGCAAAAAGGAGTCCTCGAGGCCCGCACTAGTACTAGTAGTACTAATACTTCTAGTATATCTACCTATGAAAAATTGGTAGAATTATAATTGTCTATCACTTGTATAGTAACCCAAAGTTGATATAAAATGAGAGAATATAATATGTTACATTCTAAAAAGGCATCTTCATGCAACTACAATAGGTTGAACTTATTAGCAATTTGTATGAGCTAGGAAACTATATTATTGGTGCCGAAACTGCTACCCAAACTGAATTTATTCATAAACATATATGAGAATCGAATGAGTAAATAGGTTCATCCCAAACACAATCTGGTGTGAATTTTCTTACCGAATACCACACGAGGTTGAATCATTTCCCGGGATTTTTTTCTCGATCATGAATATTCAGAAGATTATTCCTCTTCTTGGTATTACGAGTGATAATTCCTGCCGTTTGTGTGATATAAAAAACTTTTTTGATCTTTTATTTTCGTCCTGTTGGCAATGAACCCTCCTAAGCGTGTGCAGGTGTGAATAGTTATACGAATTGCTATTGTTTGTCAACTGTTTCTCCTCTGTTTCCCCTCTATTGATGACAACCGATGACGAAATGGCCTATTGATAACTTTATAAAACCAGAAATTCGACAGGAGATTGATGTGCAGTTGATCAAAAATATTGTTCGGTTCGTATAGATTCAAAAATGGCCAAAGTGGCTAAAGTAAGTTACAATATTTGAATCAATAATAGTAATACATAGATAATTATACTAAGTATGCTCATTGTTTATTTCCAAATTTGTTTCTGCTTGAAGGCTCCTGCTGAGGATATGGAACTTGACTTTGAGGCTTTTTCGAAATTGGATATATCCAAAGACCAACTGAAAAGTGAGTTTCAAACTGGAAATCTCTTATCCTTACTTCAATTATTCTTATCCATTCACCATGACATAATCGATAGATTCTTGAGACGACTTGAGACGACTAGACGAGTCCCTCTCTATCGTTCGTGGTCGTTCGCGAAAACTTGAGAGATAATACATTTTGATTAGTTGTTGTCTTGTCAAATTGTTGGAGATAAGTTTGTTGTAAAAAAATTCATGTTGAATAAATGACATCATGTAATGATGCATATGTCATATAATCAACATGTTGATGTGATATATACGGATTTTAGTGAGGCTTTAGATCGTGTATCACATCAACAACTTCTGATCTAAAAAATTTGTTCTAAAATTTGTTCTATCCGTCATTCGGTTGCCCCCTTACGAGCAACCCTCAAAAGTCTTCGAAAGTCTTGTGCGAGCAAGGAATGACGGGAAATGAATAGTTTTGTGATTGCTAAAAACCTACAATTTCTTTTGAGTTTCTTTTTATCTGATATAACGGTGTTAAATCTTTCACTTTTTCGGCTAGTTCTAACCTGATGGGACCATTACTCTTCTTACTATTTGTCAATGATATAGGCGACAATCTGAGATCACAAAATCTTTTGGTTGCTGATGATTTGAAGTTACATAGGGAAATAAAAGATATTGATGATATAGTATATTGTTACAAAATGATCTTGAATTACTCAGTATTTGGTGTCAAATGAACAAAATTTCACGGAATGTCACAAAATGCAAAATTATTACTTTTTCAAGAAAACAGAAATATGTAAAATATGATTATATGTTGGAAGACAAGAGCTTGACGCGAGTCACTCAAACTAAAGACCAAGGTGTGACATTCGATCAAAAATTATTATCATTTTCGTAACATATATTGAGGCAACAATATCATCCGCAATGAAATCTCTGATGGGTTTTCTTATCCGAAATCGTGAAGAGTTTAGTTCCCTCGAGGCGCCCCGCAGTAGTTATCTGTCTATGGTTAGGAGTAAACTAGTATACTATAGTGTATGTTGTATGGAATCCATGCTACTCAAAGTATGTCACAGCCATAGAGACACTTCAGAGAAAATTTCTAAAATTTTCCAACTTCAAGAAGCATGGATTCTATCCGAACAGAGGTTATGATTATGAATCACTTCCAAGAGAATTCAATTTCATTTCGTTGAAAAAACATCGGGAAATTATAGACCTTATTTCCATATACAAATTGATACATAACCAAATTGACTCGTCTGTCTTGCCATCATCACTCAATTTCAATGTACCTCGTATAACTTCAGGATCTAATATCACTTTCCATATAGATGTACCAAAATCACATCACCATTTTCATTGTCCTCTCACATCGACGTGTAAAAATTATAATAATCTCAAACGCGTGTTGACATTTTTTTCCAGACTCTTTCACTATTCAAAAAAACTATATCAACATCATTGGGTAATGAATTTTGTACAATGCTTATCCATTGGTCGTACATTATTTCCGTTTTCAGTAGTGTGTATCTTTAGTATCATATTTAGTTCTCATATCATCATTTAGACCTGTAACTGGGCTTTGCATTTTGAATGTAATAGATGAATAAATAAATAAATAAATGTCAGAATTTTAGATAAATGAGGTATCACTGTTATATTGAACATTGACAGTACATTGAAGTCAATTTGAGAGAATTGAGTTATGGAACATTCGTTATATGAAATTGACGGCAAATGTATGTAAATATAACAAGTGTGTTCACTTGGTATTCTAGAGAGAATATTCCAATTACGAATATGAACCTACATACTGAATTTTGAAATATCTTCGTAATATTTGTCTGATCTAATGATAAAAAAATCTATAATTCAATTTGTCGATTAATGATTTCAATTTGCAGTGTTGAAGCAGATATTTGATTCATTCGATCTCGAACAAAAAGGAGAAATTTCTGTGGACATGATTGGTCAGATTCTTGACATGCTGGGACATAGATTGACAGCAGAGGAATTGCAGGTATGGTTCCACCTGACTTTGGACACATTATAATTTGCTTATATTTTGTATGGCTGTTTCAGACCAAATATGAAAGTGCATCCATCACTACATACAAAGTTTTTTTTTCTCCAAATAACGGTTCAGTATTGAATTACCTTTCCTACGATTTATATCACAATCATATTTTCGATTTACAATCTATCCATAAAATTGATATTTTAGGAGAATTACTCAAATCAAATATTTTGTAGCGTACGATTTTGCAGTTTCAATAATAATTCTAGACCCATAGCATAATATCAATATCATAGCCAACTAATTTGAAGTTTAGTGGTTCTATACAAATGTAAGTATAGGCATAGCATGTAGATTATCATCATTAAAACTAAATGGAAAATAGAGAGTTGAAATCATGTACTATTTTGTATTTCAATATGTATAGGAGTTACAACTCAAAAATTTCCATGATAGCATTGAAAAAATGAGTTTATTGGTGTTGAACAATTGAGAAGAATTCGAATTGTGAAAAATAGTTAGTGTACATAAAGAATATTGTGTAAAATGATTGACAGCAATTTAGTCATATGCTGTTGTTTTATTATATCCATAGCAAACATTCATAAAAATGTTCAGTTACATGTGGAATACAAAAAGTATTTTTTTTTATAAAATCTCAATTATATGAATAAATCGGGTATTGAAAGTATGATTGTGATATATATCGTTGGTATGGTAATTCTATACTGAATTCTTATACGATAGACAGTTTTACCACTAACCAATCCGATTTTTTATACACCTCGACACTGTTTCCAGTTTTAATCTTCCCCTGAAGCTGCTAACATAGCTAGTTGATTGTAAACAGTTTTAATCTTCTCCTGAAGATGAAGACTTAGTTAGCGAAACACGTGTCGAGGAGTATAAGAATTTATTTGGTTAGCTGTGAAACAGTGTAGTGAATCATCGTGCCAAAGGTTTCAGTTTTCGATATAACTGAATTCTTATTTCCAGAAAAGAATATATACTCTTTATTTGAAATTATAAAATCTAGATGCACTTGGTCTGGAATTATACAGTTATTGAATCAAATCGATGAACCAAATTTGAAACACCCGGTATATAAATCACTATCAAATCCTTACTATTGATAGGTACCGTATCGCCTTCGCATCGGATTTCTTCTTCAGCTATTTTGTACCGAATTTTAATAAACTATTTGTTTCGAAGGCCGTCTCACAGATATAAAATAGCATCCATGGTATCATTATAATATACAATTAAAAATGCCTAATTTTGAGTTTCGAGATTCATATTGTGGAGGTTCATTCATAAAAACATACAGAACATAACAATTTCAGGCAATAGTCAAAGAAATTGATGAAGATGGAAATGGTGTGATGAGTTTTGAAGAATTCGCTCATTTAGCTGCTAGATTTCTAGTTGAAGAAGAGGAAGATACTGAGGCTATCCTGAGAGAGTTGAAAGATGCTTTCAGATTATATGACAAAGAAGGTAAAACATTATTATAAATCTCTAAAGGCTGTGCTCAGCAATTACTGTACTGATTTGGATGAAATTGGGTAAAGTACATACGTTTTATCAAAGTATGCGATAGATTGTACTCACGTATACATATATCATATGTTATTTTAGAAAGAACTATTTTTTAGGTTATCCGAAGTGGCAATTCCTACCAGGAAAAACAACACTTAGCTGGTATATATTTCGATGACCCATGTCTATACAAAATTTAATTCAACTCGCTCGGTTTAATACTTCCTTATAAAAAACCACTCAAGACTCCTATAGATCCTAAAATATCAACAGAATTATCAAAAAATTGAATATTATGTATGTTCCTATTGTAGATGGTGTATGTACCTTATCTGCGATATTTTGGAACACCTATATTTGTAAATACAGGGTGTACGAAATATTCCGTGCAAAATCTCATCTATCCAAAAAGATGAGAAAAATTATTCGGAAACTCATTTCATTGGCATCTCAATACCCTTTCAATGACTTTTTTAATAATTGTCACCCCATACATATTTCTATCGAAAAAAGATCACCACTTCATTAGGTATCTGAATATATAGCCACATATCATAATTATAGATACAGTAGTTTTCATGAATTGATACAAAAATAGTAATGACTATTGACTACAAGGTGTCCGAGAGTATCGTATTATAAATTCTACGTTTGCTTTATATAAATAGGTGTCTAAAATCGTTGATTGATATATTACCCTTAAGCGTATAATATATCAATCAACGCTAAAATGCACCTACTCAGAGCTACAGCCACTGTAGCTAAGGTCCTACGATGGTCGATACTTCCCCTTCTGAGTAAAAGCAAATCCTTTTGAACAGGCATAGACTAAGTAGAAATAAAGAGATTCAGGGGCAGACCCACCCCTGAAACCCGCGGAGACACCCCCACCCCCTTCTCGAAGGGGTGGTGCGCACAGTTGCATATAAATATTATTTTCTCAAAAACGGTGAGAGATAGAGATTTGAGATTTACGCCATTCGAAAGAAAATTGAATTTTACATCTGATAGATATTTTTTGATTGATAAAAAATATCAATGTCAGCTTTCAATAAAGATTATTTGGGAGGAGGGAGTTCTAGGTTGTCATGTTTTTCCTCATAACTATTAAACGGCCCAAAGAATCGAAAATTTTGACGAGTGAAAAAATGAAGCTTGCAGTTTTTTCTATCGAACGATATATATAAAGTTGAAGATATCTATATAAAGAAGGCATCCAGTGGCGTACGAACACATGCGCGTTTGGTAGAATAATGTGTGAAGAATGATAAAAAAATACCTACCTACCTACTATACTATATGACGTGAGAGGAAGACACATCAAGATCACACAGACTAATAATTATGTAGGATACTACTTGGATTCAAGTATGAATGTGGAAGATCTAACAATAAAGGTAGAACAATTTAATCATTTTTATTGTAATAAAAACAATCTGAAGGCATCAAAATTGACTCATCAACTCCGAAAACTACATAAAACAATCTGAGAACATGAAAATCAACTCATCAACACTGAAAATAAATTGAAACAAATATAAAATCAGGTACTACAGCGCTAATTGCAGCATTCCTTACAGGTACATAATTGTGTACATTTTAATTTCCTCAGGAAACATTTGCATATTATATGATCACAAATTTTACATTGGCATTTAATCATTATATCTGTTTTCAATCTTTCGTTCTTGATAGTTGTCCAGAGTGGTATCCATTATTCTTCTTCCAATGTCCATCTTCATTGGGATCAGATACCTTCAAAACATATGGTAATCCGTTCCAGGAAACCTCAACTGAATTATTAGCTCTAGATAGTAGAATTGTCGTGAATGACGAATGTTTGAGACTGTTATTAGATAAAGGCGTCCATCAATGCAGAGAATTTTTCCATGATAGGTTGATACACTCGAAAAAATCAATTTCTGAACCAATCACTAAAAATAATAACATTCCCTTCAAGGATAAAAAAATAAGCAGAATAAATCAAGTAAAGTGAAAGAATTAAAATCAGATGTTACTTTATTCAATAGACTTTACGTTGTGTCACAGAATAGAGATGGTGACCTGAAATTTTTTTTCAAATTTGAGAAACATCCTTCCTTATCCATTCTCACCAGGAAATTGGTAAGAGAAAACACCAGCATTCCACGAAATTGGAATGACTTCTTGAGAGACTCGGAAAATAAGAAACAATTGTTCGATTTAATTTCCAACCACCTCAAAGACATGCCATTACCCGAGAATACAGTAGTAGTATGTAATACAATTGAGGAAACACTTCACAATAGTGGATCCCTAGGAATCAATGAAATAACTAGTGTTTGCAACCATGAGGAAGCTGATATTCGGATTTTTGTTCATACTCAAAATTGTATGGAAAATAATTTGAAAAGAATCTGGATAAAAACTGTGGATACTGATGTTATCATTCTCGCAATTTTTTATCAGTATCAGCATCAAGAGCAGGATATTTGGATAGAGTTTGGTACGGGAAAGAATATGAAGTACATTTCTTGCGTAGAAATTTCTGATAAATTGAAAGAGAAATGCCTGGGTCTGCCAATGTTTCACGCATTCACTGGGTGCGATGTAACATCAGCCTTCTTCGGAAAAGGAAATGTTGGGAAGCATGGTATGTTTTTTCTGCCGTAACAGATGTATTCATAGAGCTGACACTTCGCTCTAAACAACCTGATGAAAATCAGTTACATACCTATATTAGAAAAGAATGTCATATTTTTGTACGATAAACATTCAGAAGCGGAAAACTTAGTCTGAGATGTTTGTCGAATGCACTTATTTACAAAAATAGGTCTATTGAGAATCTGCCACCCACATTCAATGCACTTTCATTACACGCCAGAAGATGCATTTATCAGGGTGGCCATATTTGAGGCAATTTAGCTACTGCTAATTTGGAATTACCGTGTCCCTCCCAATGGGGATGGACATTGGAAGAAGAAAAATGGATACCACTCTGGACAACTATCAAGAACGAAAGATTGGAAACAGATATAATGATTAAATGCCAATGTAAAATTTGTGATCATAAATGCAAATGTTTCCTGAGGAAATTAAAATGTACACAATTATGTACCTGTAAAGAATGCTGCAATTAGCGCTGTAGTACATACCTGATTTTATATTTGTTTTATTTAATTTTCAGAGTTGATGAGTTAATTTTCATGTTCTCAGATTGTTTTATGTAGTTTTCGGAGTTGATGAGTCAATTTTGATGCTTTTAGATTGTTTTTATTACAATAAAAATGTTTAAATTGTTCTATCTTTATTGTTAGATTTTCCACATTCCTTCTTGAATCCAAGTAGTATCCTACATATTTATTAGTCTGTGTGATGAGTGAATCAACTTCTGCCTCTCACGTCATATAGTAAAATGTTCATTTCTCACGTTGCATGCACAAACGGTAGGTAGGTAGGTATTTTTTATCATTTTTCACACATTATTCTACCAAGCGCGCATGTGTTCGTACGCCACTAGATGCCTTCTTTATATAAATATCTTCAACTTTATATATATCGTTCGATAGAAAAAACTACAAGCTCCATTTTTTCTCTCGTCAAATTTTTCGATTCTTTGGGCCGTTCAATAGTTATGAGGAAAAACATGACAGCCTAGAACTCCCTCCTCCCAAATATTTTTTATTGAGAGCTGACATTGATATTTTTGATCAATCAAAAAATATCTATCAGTTGTAAAATTCAATTTTCTTTCGAATGGCGTAAATCTCAAATCTCTATCTCTCACCGTTTTTGAGAAAATGATATTTATATGCAACTGTGCGCACCACCCCTTCGAGAAGGGGGTGGGGGTGTCTCCGCGGGTTTCAGGGGTGGGTCTGCCCCTGAATCTCTTTATTTCTACTTACTCTATGCCTGTTCAGAAGGATTTGCTTTTACTCAGAAGGGGAAGTATCTGACCATTTTTGGGCTCGTAGGCACTATACTACTGTAAGTTGGGTAAAAAAAAGGTAACCTAAAATTGTGATCATATGCAAGTATTCTAGTGCACGCTCACGAAATAGCAGTCTTAAATGAGTCTCGTGGGTGATGCCTCGCTCACAAACTCACTCACTTCTCATGAACACCGTAGAAAAATTGGTGATCTGGCTCTATTTTGAAGATATTTTCATAGACGATGCTCTTCTGAAATATCAACAATTGTTCCTCCCTTGGCAGTCCCCGCGAGATTAACCCGTCGAGTTGAGGCTTCGCACCCCTTCGTGGTCACTTTGGAGACCTGCAGAACTTTTTTTTCCAAAGACTCGATCATCCAACGAACAGCGAGGCTCTGAAACACATTGATAAGAAAGGTGTTCCCCGAGGCATGTAACCTCCAGAAATTCAAGGAGAACACCAATTCCTACCTCATTTCCCTTGGTTCTCACGATGTTCTCTGAACATTACAGGATATCCTTCCTTGTGGGAACCAAAACATAGAAAAAAAGTTCCAAGATACGATCACCTCCGTATGCAAGCGTTCAACCCATTGCATTCGAGAACAATGTCGTGACTTCTCTTTTCGTTGATTACGATTTTCTGTGAAATGATATGAGTTTGTGAAAACAATGAAGGAAGAATTCGTGAACTTTTTCATAGGTCACAAGATCTTGATATTCGAAGTCGGAGTTTCTTTTACATCGGTAGTACCAATATGGGATGTTCGAATGACATCATCAAATAGATAATATAGGAACCGTATTTTTCACTTTTTGTATTATAATTCCTAAAACCCAATAACGATTTCAACGAATGTAAACATTTTTATAGACCCGCACATTTCTAACTCAATTTTTTTTTCAGGGCTAGGGTACATTGGTGTAGATCTACTGAGAGATATACTGAGAGAATTGGAGCCAAATCTAACACCAGCTGACCTCAACGAAATGATCAAAGAAATTGATACTGATAACTCTGGGACAGTTGATTGGGAAGGTAAAAATTCATAAAGTACCTTTGCAATGTGATCAGTCACTCTATTTCATGATATACAGGGTAACAAATTTAGATATTCGTATGTGGTCACTATGAGAAATACCTACAAAAAGTAGAGGTCAGACATTTCCGATCACTCTTTTTGGGACAAATTCTCTGGCGGATCCGCGAATACAACAATTTATTATCTCCTTTATTTGTATTCGAATTATGAACAAAAAAACGATTTTTGACTTTTAGAACATCGTGGTTGTTTGTAAAGTTTGTATAAAAGATAATTTTCACATTCTTGAGGCTCTATATTATTTATTTGACAATGACGTTGATGAAGTTTTAAATGGCGTGCCAGTTTGAGTCATGGAATTAAGTTTCATCCTATCAACAGGAAGTGGGCTATGTTTTTTAGCTGGAACGTCCTATTTTTCTCTTTCTGACCATGTATACCGCTTATCACTAGAATGAGTCTTTGATAGCAGAAATAGTCTATTAAGAAGTTGAAAGTTGTTTTCTCCTAACCACGGTATTTACAGATGTCTATAAAAGTCTAACTTTTGTTTTTGACTCAGAAACAAAAAACGATAGAAATGTTGTTTTCACCAGTGATTCTTTTCTCGAAAGAAACAGATTGACATTTGAGAATGTCAATCAATTTTTTTTATATTACTTTTTTTTCACCACTAGCAATATATTCCAATCATTTTAGTCCTGTGAAACCGATATATGGACCTATTGTCACTATGAAAGCACTTATTTTCAATTCTTATAGCCATCGCTGTGACAGAGCATATAATATGACAAGTCGTTATTGATGCATACCTATATATACTTGATTACAGCGCCATTTCTGCGAATATCTGGCATTTGGGTTCATTAGAACAGAGGTGGTCATAAAATGACGAAAACTACCTTGGTAATGAAAACACACTTTGGTAGGTTTTATAGCTTTTGGTGGAAAATAGTATATAATACACCTAGAAGTGAGCTATTATATAGCAAGCATATAATAGATTCCTCACTCGAGGTTTATATAATATTTCTTCTAATACTAACACAGAAGAATCAATAACTATTATCAATTTAAATTATCATTTCCATTGGAGGAGAAATGCCATTTACCGTGTATATCTCCAGCATTGTTCGATACCGACCTAGTTATCCTATACAAACATTGAAATTTGCGTACACCTTGCTCCCCATTACACCATCAGAATTTAGTAATACATACTTTAAATAAGTTAAACCATGTTGAACTCACCATACTACCATTTTCCCCTTATTTTTGCTGAGGATTTGTGGCGATCGCGACATGTTCCTGAGATTTTCTGAAAAAAAAAAGAAATCTTCAGGAATATTCAATCCCCTTGATTTTTTTTATTAATTATATCAATGAATTTCTTTGTTTTCTTACAGAGTTCAAAGCCATGATGATTGGATGAATTGCTGTGATGGTTGTTTATGATATATAATTTATTGTATTTTGATTATGTCAAATCCATAAAGGAATAAATGAAATAAAGAGATACATTGCCTGAAAAATGTTGTATACATGGGTGCACTTGCACCTCCCTGGCGAAAAAAAATATATTGAAAAGATTGAGAATTTGTTCAATTAAGTATGAATGTATGAATGAGAACTCTAAGGTCCTATAGGTTGTTGATGTGCAACAAGCACATGTTTGCACTAAATTCAACAGTAAATATTATCGCGAAAGTTCCACATATTCCTGCTAATGAATATTTATTGTGATATCTATACTGGAAGATAAGAAACTTTTGGGAAATATTGCAAAATTCTCCATGATCCCAACTTGACAAGATCATGGGATTTTTTCAATCTTATTCTCATAATGCTCAAGCACATTTCCCTAAATAATTATACAATTCCCTTTCATATTTCCAAGATTTCAAAAAGAATCATCGAAAAATATGAGAATTCGAAAATCTGACGAGAAACATTATTCATTGCAGCGCGATTCTCAGAAATAATCTCTTGGATAGATTGTTGTGACATATACTCATATGAAATCATATCACACTAATCGACATTCCAATGATTATAGTAAGAAGTCATTGTTGCTAAAGAGCATGAATTTATCACGAAATCCTATGAACTCGCGAAGTTTATGTGATAACAAATTCCATCGACTTCGGTGTATCACCCTGTATACTCGTTCTCTAGTTTTTGTGGATTCTAGAGGAAAATTCCTATCATTCAATTTCGAATACTATACACACAATATCTGGGACGCACATTGAGAAGCGTCTGGAGAAAATGAAAAAGTTTCCATAAACAAAAGTTGTAGAATAAGGCGTCGTTTGCGAGATACAGGGTGTTTACCCATTAGCGCCCAAATTATAGTTTTTTTTCAATTTCCGTATTTTTTCCGAGGGTTCTGAGAGAACAAAAGTCGATTGTGCTAAGAAATGATACAATTTTCAATATTTCCTTATTGTTGTTGAAAAAAAAACACTGATACCATAATATGGTATCCGTGGGCTATTGAAAGCATTTTCATTACGGAATCAGACAAATATACATACCTTTATTATATGCTATAATACGAAATATATTCCTCATTTGGTGTGATGAGAGGCGAAGCAGTTGATACAAAGACCGTCGTCATACACTTCTGGCACATATTGTTTATTGTTCTACCTGAAGATGTACATTATATCCAGCACATCTACGTCTGTTACATGAGATGAGCTGACATTATATGTTTCAATTATCGATCCATTGATCATAATGTTCATTCATTCAAAGTACTGGAAAATTCCATCTACGAAAAAAAAGTTGAATTAGCTCAACTAGCGACATTACGTTATACATCGAAAAATCTGTCTCAGGAAATTTTCGAACCATCGGTTGAATGTCACCGGAAATCTATTTTGGATCAAATTTTTCATTCAGACGATCGGCAATCTACTCTCTGTTTTCAAAATGCAACAAATCATTTTATTTGTTGTCGAAGTTCAAGGCACTTTCACAATACCTCCAAAAAATCCTTGAAAGTAATATATATAACGCGTATATTTTCACGTCCTGAAGACAAAAACGTTCACTTACAGTTCCGGGCTCATCATTCTGAGTGTTTTCTTCAATTCTTCTATAATTGAACAATTATTTCATTCCTGCAGAATCTCTCAATTGACGACCTACATACCAAAAATCATAAATGGTGAAAATAATTATGTGGCAAGAGTACCAATAAGGTTATAAATCATGCCTCCTTCAACTTCGTCAGCATAATTCTCATCTCTGTGTCGTCATTTAGAGGATCCGGTGGTTTCAGAAATCTCTCATGAATTTGTTAGAGGAAGTCTTCATCATCATTTTGCATATCAGAAGCTTGCGAAAGCAAAAACCCTTTCTAGAATGATGAGTATTTCATTATCATCAAACGCCCACGGATACCATTTGGTACCCGTGACTTCACGATCATTTTAGTACACCCTGTGTACAATGTATTCATTTTATATATATCCAGGAATATCGTATCATTCATATTCTACCTATTCCCCCGATAGGTACAGTGATATATACAATAAAAAAAATCGTTATGTCATCCTACATGGTAAAACTGTCTCAGCCAATAATGCTTTGTGTTTTTGAGATCCTATGACAAATTTACTGTCAACATATGGTAAACAATAATTCTCGATAGCCTGTTTTGTGCAAATAGGATATATGACATCGATTTCCCTCTCTAAAATATACTTGTGCGCTTTTTTAATATAACTGAACGCACGATGTTCTTCGAACATTATAGGGATTTACCTTTTCGTGCGCATCAAGCGATGAGAAAAAGAATAAATAGGTCCCTTTTAATTTTTGATAAAAGTTTTGGAAACACTTTGTACATACCATATCTCCGAAAATGGTTTCATTTTCAAGACACGAGGTGTTGAAATATTTCTACAAAATATAATACCCAGTTAACTTTTTCCAAGTTCAACTCTTCGTTGTTTTATTAGAAAAACGAATTGAAAACAACTTCTTGATTTCTTTCTAGATATTTTATATCATAATTCCTTATATTCATGAAAGGTCGTCATATCTTCCCAAAATATGCTCCTTGCAGTCATTTGAATCCAGGAATACCCTCTGAACATATACCTCATAATTCAAAATTAGCAACATACAGCATATATTGATATATGGTGCAGATAAAAGCGGATCTAGCCAATTTTTATAAATAAATAAAAATCAACCTGGATATAGTTCGGCTAAAAATGAATGTATCCACTATTTCACGAGTACCAGAGTCAATTCAACGGACGCGCTGTATACAAAACCGTATTATGTTATAAATGTGGAAAAATGAAATTAAAAATCGACCTGTTTCAGGATATCTCTAAAAAATTGACAGTTTGGCTAGACATAAGTTTATTCCCTTCATTTGCACCATACTGCGAATGTACTGATGATGTATTCAATAATTTCAACATTTTACAGAATGTTTCCAACAAGTAGAAATCAACTCTGAATAACTCTGGTGGCAAATAAAAAGTTGAAGAGCTCGAAGTCCTGAAATATATTATCGGCAACACGAGACTTGTGCTTCCATTTGTAAGACTTGTTAACAAATTCGAATTTACCGCCATATACATTTCAATTTGTGACCCCTACTCCCTAGACACAAGTATATGGCTGGACTTTGGCGACAGCGAATAGTAGCAGAAGAAGAATGATAAATAATAAGACAACGAATTGATTAAAATAAGAAGAAGAATTTTTAGTTAGGTTAGGTTCATGTGAACCGTTTTATGTTTGTTTATTTCTGGTTTTGAAGATTTGAATATGAAGAAATATCAAGAAAGGATTGAGGAGCTGCAGAATTATTTCAAGAGTCACAATAAGTTCAAAGAATATGTAGCACACACCTCCAAAGTTCATTCTGTGGGTTGGAGTTGTGATGGGAAAAGATTAGCATCAGGGTCCTTTGATAAATCAGTTTGTGTTTATACCCTAGATAGAGATAGGCTGGTGAGGATACCTACTTTGCCAAAATCGAATTGCCTTCTCATTCACATAATTTCAGAACAAAGAACACACGTTCAAAGGACATGGAGGGTCAGTGGATCAGCTTTGCTGGCACCAAACTCATCCTGACCTTCTCAGTACTGCCAGTGGAGACAAATCTGTCCGAATATGGGACACTAGAATTCAGAAATCAGTTGCAACTATCAACACCAAAGGTGAAAACATTAACATAACTTGGTCTCCAAATGGTCAAGCCATTGCAGTGGGCAATAAAGAAGATCTTGTTACATTTATTGATGCCAGGACACATAAGATTGAGGCAGAGGAACAGTTTCATTTCGAGGTTAATGAAATATCCTGGAATAACACCAGTGATTTGTTTTTCCTTACAAATGGACAAGGATGTGTTCATATCTTGAGGTTTGTTTTTCGCTAAAAATAATTACATTCAAAATTCTACCAAGTAATAATTTGAAACAGTGCCTTGAATGTAGGTATAACATGATTTCAATTTCTCTTGATTGATTTTATTTGAATATAGGACTGTGAATAGGACTAATAGGTACTCACTGCTACAAAAAAACTCAAATTCAATGGTCTTTATACTAAGTATTCAGTAAGTAGATCTCAAATTCAGGCTTGAAAAGTATATGATTTCCATAATTTCAGATAATACTAACAACAACAACTCTCAATCAGGTTATCAAAGTTTGATCAAAAACAGGTGGTATTCATTCTTGTGGGATTTTTGTTGTGTTGTTTCAAGAATTTGATTGCCATTACTTTGGATTTTTCATGTTTTCCCAAATGAGAAATGAGTAATAAGTATAAAGAATTATTGAGAAGTAAGTAATCTCACTTTAACTGATTTTCAAATTCAGAATCTGAAATTTGAGAATAAGTAGAGCTATTTTTTCAGTGATATGACATAAACTAGTGGAAAAAAGTTAATGATGTTTTCCTAGATGTTTTCAAAGGCAACATAGATATTAATAGCTATATACCACATTGTTTCCAGAAAAATGTCCATAGCAGAAAGACATAATCCTTAACTTACTCAAATGAAATTGATATCAATAGCTATACAAGAGGCTACCACATTGTTTTCAGAAAAATGTATTTATAGCAAAAAGACAATATCCTTTGCAATATCCCTAAATTTTTCCAATTAGTTCCTAAAGAATAATTGCAAAATTTCCAATAATCAAAATTCTGCAAACCTTCTGAAATAATAAACACAGTTTGGATATCAATAACTTTTGTGGTACCTATCTACCTTGCTACCTACTTACATAAACAGTCACTTTCTTTGGTGATGTCTTACTCAGACAGTATTCTTTTTTTGTTTTGTAAAGGAATGGAACTACTGTGATAAAGAATTATTGTTCTTGAAATTCATACTTATCTTCCCACTGTCACTGACATCAGTGCTTTTGTAAAATATTGAATAAATTCATTTTTATCCAAACTATCTATTTCTGAAGAATCACTTGAAATTGGTTGATTTTCAATTCTAATTTGCTACATTTTTTAAATGAAAATTGAATATTTAGGGTGATCCAATTCAAGTAATGTCCTCTGCTCCAATTTTTTCAAATGAAACACCCAATATTATGTTCAATCTTTGAGTATTTCAAGGGTTCAGTTTTCAAAATGGAAAGCTGAATTTGAAAATATATCACACATTGGGTTTGTATAGAGTGTGTTCCTTAATAAAATGAAGTTGTTGGACTTATTAAAATAATTGCTTGCTCATTCTATAGAATTAAAATTTCATTTAAATCCAAATTTTTCACTTGTCTGAAGTGCCTGTAGATATAAAAATTTGAGGAGAATATCATCATAGTATACTTCAAAAATCAACTACTTAGATATACCTATTTATGATTCCATTGTTATTAATCAGCTTATATATAGTTTATTTGGATGACACTATGTGAATTTACAGTTATCCAGATCTGAAAAGGCAACACATTCTGAAAGCCCATCCAGGAACTTGTATTTGCATAGAATTTGATCCAACAGGAAAATATTTTGCTACAGGAAGTGCTGATGCTTTAGTTTCCTTATGGGACATAAATGAGCTGGCTTGTCAGCGAGTATTCACAAGGTTAGTTAGAATATGACAACATATCTCTTTTTCTATTTTCAAGAACTACCATGATTTTTGGGACAAACTGAGCTTATCATAAGTGTCCCATGAAAAATGAACGCCTAGCTCCCAGGAGAATGTTTGTTTAAAAAATTGATAAAATACTAGCTTGAAGTACTTAGTGAATTAAAAATCCCTTGGAACACCTTTTTAACTATCCTCATCTGTCACACATGCCATTATCCTTTACCTTATAGGCCAATTACATTTCAATTGGAAAAGAACCATGTATGGTCCAAAATTTAAAAGCTAATTCAATGAAGACATGACAAAGAAAGGTTTCTTGTTATGTTAGGGCCAATTTATGGTAATAAAATAATGTAGTCCAATCAGGAACCCAATATTTGACAATACATTTTTTGAGAGCTTATATACTCTGTTGATATTTCCATCATGCAGTAATTAAAATTCATCATAATACCTGAGATGGTATAATTCATTGTAAATGAACAAAGTTGCCATGATGCACTGAAGCCCAGCATCATTTTAAAATTATTCATGTCCATCTCTGATATTGTTATGTTATATTATTGATGCATTGAATAACTCATAAAATCAACGTCAAAAAAAGTGTCAAACAATAGGATGCTAGAAATGATAAGAAACTTCACTAATATTCATAATATAAGTATTTTCTCCACTGAATTACTTTCTCAATTATCTGCCATTCAGTACATAATGCCTTTCTTATTCAAATTCAATTTTCTTCTGGTTACAAAAATTCAGGGAAGTAATAGATGAGGATGAGATTAAATGGTTCCTCCATGGATCAGATGACAAAAGATATTTTTGGCGTTTTTTAAAAAAAAATCTCCTGGAGGCTGTTTCATTTTTGTCTAGAAACTCCATATGAAATACCATTTTCCTTTTAATCAGAATGGACTGGCCTGTTCGCACCATATCATTCAGTCATGATGGACAACTTTTGGCATCTGCCTCAGAAGATCTGATCATTGACATAGGATTCGTCGAGTCTGGTGATAAAATCGCTGATATTTCGGTAGAAGCAGCCACTTTTACAGTCGCTTGGCATCCTTCTTTGTACCTCTTGGCATATGCGTGTGATGATAAAGACAGTTATGACAGGAAACGAGACGCAGGGAGCTTGAAAGTTTGGGGATTCCAATCTGACTAATTGTTACTTCAACATTTTAGGTTCTGACTATTTGATATTTTTTTGAAATATAAAAGTTTTTTTCAAAAGTTTATTTCATTTATTTTTCTGCCAGACTGCTGGTCGGACTCAAAATACACCCTTCCTACACTGAAGTCACTTTGTTAATCTGTGCTAAAGTTTGTAGTCATATTTTTTGTTTTTTTCGTTTTCACTGGAAAACAGCGCATAGGATATAGTTTTAGCAACGCATTTTTCCAAGTTCACCTTCTTTATAAGTTCTAGATTATGCGACCTGATGTTTGCTTACTTAGTTCAGAAATCAATCACTGCTTGAGATCATTGAGCGCAGTGCGTTTTCGATGGAATTTTCGGACCGTTGATGGAAAAAGGGATTATTCTGGAAAAAGACTGTTTGAGAGGGAGATTTTGATATTAATAAGAAAAACGACGATAGTTGTATAGTTGACGTTCCACAAGCCATTATTTTGTGACCTGAACACAGCACACGCACATAATTATAGAATTTCTATATATTGTTCTGTGATTGTTTAGATCGATCAGAAGGAAGTGTTAATTATGGTTTTCTTTTCTTGTCAAATACTGGGTGAATGAAATATTTTTGTTATATATATGGGGTGTCCAAGACAAAGATGTCAATCATCGGGGTATATATATAGTGATGATGGTTTCTCCAAAACGAAACGTACGGAAAATCTCTCAACGCTGTTTTTGTAGGGCTCAAAAAGTGGCAATAATGATGTGTCTTTTGTTTTCCTATATCTTTTTAAATAACGTCAAAAAAATGAAAACGATCGCCATGATAGACATATCCTTATCTTGGTATACTGTATAGGTTAATTGAGGGAATGGGATATTCATTTATGTAGAATTTTTGAGACTTATGAGTATCAATTCAACATATTTCATTATGAAGAAGGCCAACTCAAACAATTTGCCATGGATTTTCCCCAAAATGTCAATGCATGACCAAAAAATCAAGAGAAATAGTGGAAACAAATTCTAAAAATGAACGTTTATCAATTCAAATTTGCCGCTCAACATTGGAAGGGATGGAAATGTCGTGCAGACCCGGGGTGGCAAACTATCGATGGTTAAAAAAAAACTCGATACTATCGATTCGATATCGACGGTGACAGCAGACAGACGAATCGATTTCGAAAAGTAAGAAATAAAAATACTCATTAGATTGCTTATTAGATGAAGAAATTCGACAACATTGACATCCATCCACTATCGATACTTTTTTGAAAACTATCGATAGTGCATATTTCTAAAAAACTATCGATACTACCGATAGTTTTCCATCTCTAGTGCAGACCTCTGAACAGTATGATCGAAGGTGCAGACCATAACAACACTGGCGCAGTGTATCGCCCTCTTCAGGAATATAGGTGAAGTGTATCGCTAGATCTACGCTTACAGCTTTCTTCTTTTCACCTTTTAAAATATTCGAGTTTTATTTGACTACTATGAACAACAGATACCAGATGACTTATAGAACGGGAACTTTTCTTTTAATATTTCGATAAACTGCATGACAAGCGAAGTGGCCCCCCTGACTTTTCTACCCTTTATAAATATCGAATATTTTGAATATGAATAGATGCCGATATATCGATCCTGGTAACCCAGATAACACACATACATCCATTGGATGTCCATTTTGAATCCATTAGGTAGCCGGATGTCCATGGATGTCCAATGGACATCCATTGTGTATATGTACAATGGACATAGATATTTGTACATACAATGGACATCCATTTTGTAGTTGTACAATGGACAACGAAATTTTTACAGCCAATGGATATCCATCATACATATCCAATGGAAATCGTTTCGCAAAGTATATATGTGTCATTTATGACTCTTCTATTTCAATTGAAATATTTTTACCAATAATATATAATATATATATGAACATTAATCACGGACAACTTCGCACTCGGTACTATTTTTCAAGATTTTATACGTCTCATCATTTTTGTAGGTTACGTACCTATATAGAGGTAGGTACTTATTTTGAAGTTGATTTTCATCCAATTTCAATTTTAAACCATTTAGGCCGTGCAAATAAGATCGATATGGGCAAATATTATACGGCGGGTTTCTTCCGAAAAAGATGAATCACCCTGTAACACTTTTGATAAGGGCCGTGTAAAAGCTTTATTGCGGCACTAAACTTCAGCAAATTGCATTTTCTCTCGATGTGAAATACCGTGAATACGAAATACTTGCTATACTATTTATAACAGCTCAGTGGTCCAGAGGTTAGCGTTGTGATCCACGAGAGCGGGGTCCGGAGTTCAATCCCCTCAAAACAACTTTTTTTTAATTTCTACGTTCTGGCTGGACAAAATTTGGATATCCAATGGAAATCCAATGTATTCCTGATGAGTATCCGATAAACTTATCATTGGAATGGACATAAGTTGGATTTTTGGTAGACATCCATTAGAGTTCTGATGTGTATACAATGGTATTTCAAATGTAATGGACATACAATGGATCTTCATTGGGAATCCATTGGATGTCTGATGAGTATCCAATAGACTTCCAATGGAAAGGACAAATATTGGATGTCCAATGGAAATCCATCAGATGTCTAATGGAAAGCCAATGGACTTCCAATGTATGTCCAAACTGTTGGACATGTATTATCCAATGGATGTCCATTGGACAAATACTGGACAATGCCGTCTATCCAATGGATGTCCAGGGTATCCATAGCTGGACATCCATTGGTTGTCCAATGGATTCACTTGTGTTGTCTGGGAAGGTGTCTTTCATGGTGAACGAAAATTCATGAGGAATGTGGAATTACATGTACCTACCTACTTGTTTGTTTGTTAGTAGATATAGAATTCATAGGTAGAGGTATCTGGAAAATTACTCGAATTGACTAAGACAAAGAACATCTATGTAAGCTCCTATTTCGAGTCAAATGCCTCGAGAACGGTTTATTTTAGCGTAGTTTATACCCTCAGTATATAATGCATTTTTTTATATAAAATTATCGAAATTTCATCCGCCGCATAAAAATACGTGAGGAAAGGTTATCACAACCCCCCCATATCGCTTTTCTCCTGAGCTATATAAGTAAGTTCTTTGTGATATTTTCAATCATATTTTCCATATTTCAAGCCTCCTAAAATATGTAATCCAACAATATACATATATATAACCATTATTATTTTTCTTATCCCAACACCCTCATCCCTACCAACTTTCTGTGGGAAATCCAAGGTGAAGAATTGATTATTCCTTGAAATTTTGAGTTTTTTAAAATCATTTTCTCGATATTGCTTCCCACTTTAGATGTGTCACCTCCCTTTATCCTCGTAATTCTCAACATATTTTGGTCATTCAGAATCTTATTGAATAATCTCTTCTACGAATTGTTTGGATCTGTGCTTTCTTTTTCTCTATGTCAACAAATTACAGGGTAGCTCAGGAAAAACATTTTTTCCAATGAAATGATCCATATTTTGCTTCATAATTCGATGGAGCTCGTCAATCTGAATTCAAATATTTTTATTCACAAATTATTATCGAATGATTTTTTTTCCATACATAGTCACTCTGTATTTTGTTGATATATGAAGCAGAGGTAAGAACAGATTCAGAAAATTCGTAAAATATATTATTCCCGAAATTGTTTTGAATTCCCAAAATATACAGTTTGTGCGATCTTAACCCGCAACACTCTTCTAATGTGGAACTTGTCGACCGATTTACAAAAAAAAAAACTAGAATCAATCTTTTATTAAAAAAAAACATTTTTCTTTGGAGGTTTATACCAATGAAAATTCATCTTTTCTTCTATCCTCAATAGTGTGCCTATGCTCCCCCCCCCCCCTTAAGCATCGCCTGGATCCGCCCCTGATGAAAAACTGTATGTACTGAATATTCCATTTTATGAGTATAATAATTATAAATATGCGTAAATAAAGGGTTGAAGTTTAACGATATATCGTGATGGGTTATTGTATATCTGTTTTAGGTCCTGATGACTGCCTCACCGGGTAGATATATTATATATTTTATTTGATTTTGGTGGAACATTCACTTGCACGCTATATTGGAAAGTATATTGAACAATCGGTTCTTCCAATAATAGGAAATCCATGCATTTACATTTTTAATCTCGTTCAGTTGGTTAAATCATAATATGCATAGGTAGATACTTATTATTTATTTGATATTAACACTGTAAATACAGTGTGGTTTTCAATTAATTCGTAATATTTTGATAAATTAGCGTTTATGATAAATATAATGACTAATACTTCAAGAAAGTAAGTATATCGTAAAAGTTCTTAGGTTTCCAAGATATTTCGCGTGAAAATAACAAAAAATAATAGCTAGGAACTATTGTTTGCGATTAGATGTGGCTCGATAATTGGAAATGGGACTCAATTTTTATTACTATTAGCATAATTCCACATAAAACATTAGGTGGTAGAAGTGATGATTATTTTAAGGGGAACTAGGAAGGTCGCCACGATCAGAAAACGTGCGGTGAGGGGAAAGTGGGTACTTTGTGACGTAATCGCATTCAAAATTTCATGTGAAATCATAGAAATAAATGTATGTATAATTCCAGATCACAGCTGGATTGGTAAATTTACTTATCGATCGAGGCAAAACCTTCCTTCACAAATAAATCATAAATTCTACCAACCTCCCCAGACAGCACACAATATCTATTAGATATCCATTGGATAGCCCTATATCCACTGAACGTTCCTATCCATGAAAGATATCTAATGGATATACATTGGATATAATTCATGGATATTCGATAAAAAAACCGATATTGTATCATTATGATAGAATATCATCAAATATCATGAATAAAATACTTAGGCTGGAAATTGCAATAGGTATTTTTGATGGAGTGATATAATTGTATATTCAATTGATATATCCACTAGATATCCAGTGGATATCCAGACAACATTCATCAGATATCCAGTGTTCAAGTTCACATTGAATTTGGACTGAAAAATCTAACCTCAAAAAATTTATGTTTGAAAGTACTCGGTACGAATCGTGTAACTAGCGCCC